GTCACTTTCCGTCGCGGATTTCTCTCGGCCGTCGGATTTTTCGCTGGCCGTTCTATTTCACCCCGATTCGACGCGGCGTTGCTTGCCGACAGTTTTGTGGCTTTCACGGTGCCTCCGGTTTCGTCACCACTTTCCCACCCCAGGGATCTTCTTTCTCTCCTTTTTGCACGTGCCCCGTTAACAGCCTCCGGGCCGACCGCCAGCCGGAACGCCGATCTAGGAACGTTTCTAGCCCGCTTCGGCTTCGTTCCGCCGTACATCTGGTAAACTGCGGTTTCTTTGCGCCGCGTGTAATCGGCATTTAACAGCCGCGCGGGTGGAAGCAGGCCGTTGGCCGGTATCGGACTTCTTTTCCGGGTCAACGGAGCTGAGCTGGCCCGGATCGCTGTGGAACCGAACTTAACGGTATTATATGGGCCAGGATTCCAACTCTGAACAGCGATGTTCTGTGATAACTCTAGGGGGATGAAGTTTTGGTAAGGAGTCTCCTTCTGCGGCGCTGGCGGCCTCATTCTTCTCAAGCTTTCAATGTTCGATAGATAGAAATTGTTGTTTTGCAAAGGATTCTGGGAGTTCTTGATACCTTCTTCGTTTCTTAGGTGCGTCAACATTTTTATGTAGTTGACGTTTAATATATTGTTCACTATCGTTGTGCTTTCGATGACGGGTTCGTTAGTGGGATTCGGTGCTGAAGGTTTGAGAGGTATAACGGGTTTGTGTCTCATTGTGATTTTATAACGAGGCTTGCGATTTGTGAATGACATTGGATTCGAGGACGCGAAGTTTGATTCTTCTCTGCTGTCTAGGTTTCTTATACTGTCTACCAAATCGTTGGCGATGTTAGGTACTGAGTGCCTTGGTTCATCTGTTGCTGGCCTGTTAGGTACTTCCGTGATCTGATTCCGCTGATTAACCTCAGGGTATACAGGATTGATCCCCTGCGAAGAAACTAATTTCTGGGGACTCAAAATCGCCGATTCGATGATAGGAAACGGTGTCGTTAGTGGTTCTAAATAAGGAGGATAAGTAACGAAATTATTTGCGACGCTGGACGAAGGTCGCAGAGCATTTGGTTCAATGGAGAAAGGATTTATCGTGGTAAATTGATTACTGTTTTTGAAATAGTCCCAGAAGAGCTGACTGTAACTCACTGTCGATGGATCCTCATCAGTTCGCTGGAAATCGATGATTTCACTTTGAGTAGGAGAATTTTCTTCTACTTCGTACTTGTAAGCTTCCAAAGGTCCTGTGGTCAAGTTTCCAATGTTGTTCGCTGAAGTCGTAGTTTCATTTTCCTCTGTGACCTCATCTCGATCCTCTAGAGTTCTCCAGGTTGAATAATCCTCTATCGAAATATCCTTTCGAGTATTTTTCAATTGTTCATCATCTTCATTATCTTCATCAGACTCTTCCCAAGTTGGACTCTGTTCTTTCCCATTTTTTCTCTTATCTTCACTTTTCCTTCTGTAATCATCTTTTCTTCGCGACTCGTTGAAACTTTCGCCGTCGCTCGAACCACCAGTATACTCTAACTTACTAATTTCAACCCCTTTCTCGATCTCCACAGCCTCCCTGTCCAAATCATCTTGCAACCTTCGTACTCCATTCTGAACAACTAATTTAGGATATGAACTCCTCGTCCAATCGTCTTCATCTCCATCTGCCAACCTCCTATAATTCGTACTCGTCTCATGGTGATCCTTATAATCTTCATCATAATCCTTAAATTCTTCAGCATTTATTTTTTCGTACTCCTTCGATTTACGTGAATCTTTATCATGATTTTCCCCTTCTCCGGATTTTTTCTTGCTATCCACTTGCTGGTGAACCTTTCTAGCATATCCTTCATCGAAGTCAGCGTCTCTGATGTGTCCTGCATGATCGTAGGCAGAATCTTCGTACCCCTCTTCAGTATACACAGTGTTAACCTTTGAGTTTCTGACTACTTCCTTCAACCTCCCAGCGTTAGCCTTTTCTTCCTCGCTCTCTGCATTCTCGAACGCCCTTTTCCGCGGCAAACGTCTCACCGTATGAGTACGCCGAACTTGCGCGTATACTTTCGATGGAACTTCATCCGAAGAAGTAGTTCTGCCCTTTGATGGCTTCGCCCATTCGCCCGGAGCTGTATATTTTGGCTTAGTTGACACCACATTCGGCGACTCGTGCTCTGAATAAGGTATCACGTGATCCGGAGGACCTTCGGGATCTTCTTCAGACGACGATTCCTTTTCTTCATGGTCTGCAGGGTTCTCGAACCTATTGTAGACTATTGTCTCTGAAGACTCGGCTGGATCGTGATCCTCTTGTGAAGCATTAGGTAATTTTATTGATGATTCGTCGATCGAGAAAATACGTTCGTTACTATTCGCTGCTTCCCTTTCAGTGTTCAAAGAATAATTATTCAACACTCTCGGAGTATTAATGTCCTCTTTTGGTACTGTCTCCGCACGAGTTTGAAGAAGACACACTAAGAAAATGAACAACAGACGACGAAGCAGTGTTTGACTCATTGCGTTAGTCAGATCTTGCCATTGCACTTGTTTCCATCTAATAGATTATACTTAATTCATCGTTTATTTAAATTTAGTGTACCATTTCGCCTGATTCTTGATGTTATAAATTACTCGCGACACGGGTAGGGTTTTTTTCGTTTATATTTTTAGTGGCCACGGTACAGCCGATTTCGTAAGGAGACTGGTGTGAAAATCGCAGCGCGGTGGAAGATAGTGTCTTACGTTCGACCACGGCGGAACTGAACGCGGAGAAATTGTTTGTTTTTTCGAACGGTACGTGACGGACGGTTTCCAATCATTTTCGAACGAGAACCGCCATCGAACTGTCCGCGGCAACGTCTGTCTGGCCTAATTTATATTTTCTAGCGATCCGAAAGGCAGAGGTAGGGTCTGAAAACGGTTGTTGTTCACGGGACCGTGCAGGCCTAAACGCTGAACGGTTCTGTCACTCTCGATTGAATCCTCCGCTGCATCGTTTCACTGGAAAGGGAATAAAGAAACCTTCGGTCGGGCACATGCGCAGCACTAATTGCACCGATGCCATTTTTCTGCGCCACTTTCCGCTCGATTCGGTAATTTACATCAAACCGCCGCGATCTTGTCGCGGAAATTTCGTACTTAACACTTGCCCCTGCATCTTTGATCGGACTCATTAGTTCACGCGGCAGGATAGTTTCACTTTTCTATGCACTTTCGAAGCCGGGGCTGCATTAGATGGATCAATTATAATTCTCGATCTTGTAGAAGTTTCCTTTACACATCAAATTGAAAATATTGCGAAAATATAAAAACTGAATTTTCTTTTAAATTTCGAGTAAACGTGTTTCCGTTCGTTTCAGATTCTTCGTGGTTAATATTACATTCTAAAGTTAGCAGTAGAATTTTAAGGAAGTAATAAAATTTAAATTGCTTTAAGCTTGCCAATAACGATGAGTAATATATATCAATCTTCTACGTTTATAAACTAATAAATGATACACATGTACTTCTAGAAGTTATTACAGTGAAGTTAATCAACGGTACGCTTCTTCACGCTAGAAATTACTGTTACTCGGAGCAAATGTGCTCATAGTAACTGTAATTCGGAATCATCGTACGGAACAGCAAAATTATACTCATAGTACCACTATCTTTATTTATAAGATCAATATATAGTTGCTGGCATTTAATTAAGGTTTTTCTGGTAGAACCCTTCCTGCGAATGCTATTAAATCATCAGAATCAATCATTGAATCGAATTCTTTGTAATAAAAATAATTGAAGCGGAGCGGAGGCATGCTTATACAATTACAGGCATCCACGTGAGATAGCTTCCCTTGTTGTCCATAAATCGGATTTAATTTTTCGGTCATGGAAATCGCCAGTGATCCACAATATCGCAAAAAGAGGATAAAGAGTCGATTCCACAATAGTTTCGTTTCTAGGATTCGAAGTTCAGTAAGGTTTTATCTGCGGCCAGCAGAGCGGAGAAAACTATAGTTCCGAAGACACGGTTCGCAGATTGACGCGGAAAGACCGGGCACAATCGCCTCGGCAGAAACTTAGCGAGCGAGACAAACGATTCACAGACGACTGAGCTAAGCAAAATGCTCGGTGCTCCTGAGTTCGTGTAAACGACTGTTTACGCGGCTACGACTCGAATCAATTTTCAATAAAATTATGAAATGATTATACTAAATTTAACAAGAAGCGCGACGATTGGATAAACGGTTCATGAAAATGATCAATCGAAGCGTAGCAATATTGATTTATAAGTCCCTAGTTTATAGTAATTACAACATGAAAGTGAAAAGTAAAAAATTGGTACTTTTGGTTTAGTTAAAAGAGTTTTTATATTTTAACGATTCACCATTTTGGTGTCTCTGATATAGATTAGTATGGCCGTAGATATCAAGATAGCAAATAGCAGACGAAAATATATTTTTGCTCACCTGTTATTGGACTCCTGTATATAGTTACGTATCCAGTGTTTCACAATTGTATATTCTATTAATCTAAGGTTGACTGCATCTGCTTGTATCTACTAAAAACAACTGTTTCCGCTAATTTGAAACCAATTTTTTCACAATCTAATCTTAATTGCTTAAGCTTCTGTGGATTCAGATACAACTCTATCGGTTCTGTCGATTGCATAATGATCTGTAGCTCCTCATATTTCCTGCATTCAATTGCATTGAACTTAATGATCATTCTATTGAGTCATGTTGCTTTAATACTATATTGTTATATAGTATTCCTACACTTAAATGAACGTGTAACTTTCTCTTAGAATTTCGTGTTATTGTTTTAAAAATATATAGAGTAGTAAAAAGTAAATACACCGAAATGATTGCTACACCATATATTTCATAATCCATATGTCATAGGAATACAATTGATTGGTGATAATGTATAAATTAATAAAAGTAACGAATAATAAATATAATAGAATAAAATTCATACAATATTACATAATTACAATGAAACGCGATTGCACCTGCCCAACGTGATCATAATACTTCTACAGGCATTACACGCTCGCTACCATTAAACCGAGCAGTCTACCATTATTCTCAGATTCATTCACTTCCACGTATTCAAATTTGTCAATCAAATTCTATACTGTCCATGCCTTCCATCGAACGATCTAACAATAAAAGCGAGGGACAAAGGAAGTTTTCATCGAGAGAATATGAGTTAACATTTAACTACAAAAATACATATAAAAAGTAATAAATCTACTACATATATGAAAACGCTTCGTTACATCTAATTATAATATTTTTACAATAGAACGATACGATCAGGTACTCCGAAGAAAATGAAATGTCACTTAGGACGCAATCACCGGCTTCCACGAGTTAGAATCGTCTTGAACGGGAGCTGATTGTGTCTCAGCCGACTGTAACATCGACGCCTCGGGTCTAAAGAAGTCTATAATCGGATGATAATTGTAGTTAACTCGCCTCTGCGTTTCTTGATATTCTTCGTCGAAGCCGCCATTTTGTAACCGCGACGATGCGTCGACGTCTAGGTCGTACGGCTGACTAAACCTATATAATTTGAAAAATTCATTACAATAAATTCAAATTTATTAGATATTGAAATAATGATATATTTATTAATGTAATATAATTGTAGTTTTTACTGTTGTTCTTCTTATGGGTTACCTGTTCACAATTGAACTATTGTTCAACGATTCCGTCTGTTCATCGGCATGCGACGTGGACTCTCTTCTGTACGGCGGTCTGCTCGGTCTGTTTGGTCTAGGTCCTTTCAACAATGGACCTGTGTATCCCGGTGCTCTTGTGTTCGGCGCGTGTTGCTGTGGCAACTTATTGTCAAAAGGCCTTGAACTTGAAGGTGAAGGCTTCTTTAATCTAGGTCTTATGGGAAGAGTGATGGATGGTCGGCTTGGCGTGGGCTCAATTGATGGTTTCTTATTGCTCGATCCTGTTCAGCAAAAAGGATGTCTGTTCATTCTACTTCTCTATATTTTAGTAAAATTAAACTTTTATTCAGTTCTAACCAATGAACTTTGTAATACAACTTCATACAAATTATTGTATTCCATTGAGAGTTACTGCTATAAAAATCTACATAACTATGTTTACTTGAGCTTATTGAAAATTGAAAAATTGAAAAACATAGGCAACCATGATATTCTTAGAAGATTAATTGATCGAACTTGTACCGATGGAGGTATCATATGCGGCTGAAAATTTGTTCAAATAGTTCAGCTTGGAGACATCTTCGTAATCTTCTTTTTGATCACTGCTAGTGATGAAATCAGATCCAGGGAACTTTTCCTTGGTTTTCGGAGGTGGATCTTTTTGATGGGGAGGAAAGATGTCGGAGTAACCGTGGACGTGACAGCTGCAGCAAGACGGCACCTTGAAAATGTCCATGTGGAGGCCAAGTTTGCTGTCCCATGTTAATAGTCTGTGGTAATTATACACTTGCACGCAGGACGATCGGTAATTTTCGGAAATGAAGGAACAACTCGACTGCGCATTCCTGAGAAAGAAAAACAATGTTTACTTCTCGCTGTTGGTAGAATTAAATAGAAGTTATATTGTGGTTCTTCGATTGAACTGCGGAAGAAAGTGAAGCGTCAGTTGCCAAAGGAATTTGACTCGTCTACCGCAAACCATTCTGCATGAGGTGGATGTTTCGTTCACTCGTTTGTGACGAAGAGAAAATTTCGATTTCTACGATTCGAAAAAATTGGGCCATTTCTACGCAGTTTTTTGAGAAAGTGTTAACCGGCCGGATTGCTTCCGAAATGAAAGTATTGAGGTTTCAGAACACGTTAAGGAACTATTTGAGATTGTGAATGAAATAGTACAATGTAGAGATTGATGGTATTCGAAATGATAGTGATTAAATTACTGAATATGAAATTTTCCTTTACTTACAAACACTTTTCCAATCTCAACGTTTGCGTATGTTCACCAGTGTTTATGATATATTTCCAAACTCCAGAAGCTGCTCTAGCCAATTGCGGGCGCGCATATTTGATGACTGATGGACAGGTGAAGCCTTCTTCGACATTTTCGAACGGTGAGTTTGTGTCAGATCTCCTGGAATATAATTAAAGTTTCAAATAATTATGCTAAAGGCTGTCTTCGAAAATATAATAAATCCTAATTGTAATTCTAACTCAACAAAAATTCTTACAATCTTAAACATTAGAAATTTAAAATATTAATTTCCTATTAGCATAATTCTTTGCTCCTCTGTGAAGGCAATGCTCTGTGCTATCGAGCATTACCGTTAACGCAGTGAACATTCACTAGGGGCACAGTACACGCTCTCATTCTTGTGTATTCACTGAATTACTATCGAAAATAATAATTACTAGTAATGTATAAATAATTATATTTCACCTCCTGATTTCATTGCTCTCGTATCTGCTCTCATACGAGTACTTGTTTTCAAGGGGCAAAGAGACTGGCAGACTTTCGGCAGAATCGTCAAAATCCTGCGACTTGTAATCAGTTAGCAAGGCTGCGACCATTTCTTTGTTACCTCGTAAACTTCTGGTTATTGCCTCGCTAAAAAAGACTTATTACATTATTACCGATGTCAAATTACCACGAAAAGCAAATGAATGTCTTATCAAAGAAGTCTCGAAATATTTCATCTTGTTCGACAAGATCTACGCTATCCGGATTTCACATTGTCATCCGCAAAGTTATGTGTCATAAAAAGAAAGAAACACTTCCTGCTTTCTCTATTGCCTCCACACTTTTTTCTGTCGCCCGTACTTCCACTGGTGTTTAATTAAGAATGAAAATAGTTATGAGAACGTAAAGCAGATATGGCAGTTGCGCAATGAATATACGAACGTGGAGAACAACTTAGGGAAAAAACTTTCTTCTATTTTAATGAGCCGCGAATTATGTCGTTACTATTGTAAAACCGTGCTTTTCTAATTGAAGCTACCTGTATTGTTTTCGTATTAGAGAAAGCGCATTGAAAATTAAGCGGAGGGAATAGTTGCGCAATCGTTCGGTTCCGGTGAAATGAGGGGAAAAGAATGATGCGATGCATACTGTGGATAATCTGCCGCTTCGAGGCAAACTGTCTTTGAGAAGAAAGTGCATTCTTTTTCGGTGGGATCTCTCTTCGGGTCGATTGGTCGCCTTGGTGGTCTGATCACTGATGATCTCGTCAAATCTGAAAAATCGCAGTCAATTATATTAGTAAATAGTAATTACAATTATAATAAAACATGGTTTACTCTTAAAATATTACAAATTTTAAAGTTACAAAGTTCACAAGTTACTTATAATAAATATAGAAATATAATATATCAGAGAAATTAAATTATCTTGAGTTACTCCTAATTGACATTAAAAAATTAATGATGTTAATATTGTAATAGACACATAACGTCAGTACCGAAAGAATTCAAAATATTGACCTGTGTAAACATTTCTTCGATTCGTCAGTGACGGTCTTCGCGGTGGAGGTGGTCGATAAGTGGGACGTTTCCTTAAATTTGGTCGAACGATCTTTAATTCTTGTGCCTGTAAAAAATCATGAAAGCAATGAAATATAGCCTACCGAAAAACGATTGGTTTTAGTAACGAGCGACGTAGGAGAAACGTAGATTTCTCCGTTTCCGATCTTCCATTTGGAAATCGGGAAATCCACGAATTCCTATCGCCAGAAAAATACATAAATTGCAATGTGAAAGTGCTCGTACAAGATCGTAGTCACGAACGAAAGTGTCCTCTTGGAAATTCCTAGATTCTAAGCGATAGTCGAGGGGAAACTGCTCCAACGTTACCTTAATCTCTGCTCGACCGGGCATATCTTTAACCTGATTCGATTTAGTTTTATCCGAACATCGCTTATAACGGTGAAATTGAATTAAATTTAAAGTAGAATCAATGATTCGAGTGGGTAAAACCAGAACCATACATAAATGAAAATTCTTCTCCGGCAAAGAAATAAGTTAACGAATAACAAATAGTTAAAACCATGTTTGAAACGGACGTGACGCTTGAACGAAGTCAGCTCATAGTTTGAATAGAGGAATGTTTATTCAGAATAGAAAAGAAAATTTTCACTGTGACTTGGTATAGAGAAAAGTTTTCAATACGACTTTCTAACAGTCTTTTGTGACTGAAGGTAAACAGACTGTCAGCCGCTCACGCTTCGTTATTGCGTACTAATATTGACCCTCCAACCAGAAGTCGGAGTGCAGTAAACTGTTCTCTAATCATAACTTCTGTTTAATGAGGCGGTAAACTCGAATTTATAGAAGACCGTTTCAAGTGAAGAAAGTCTGACGAAAGAATGACGAAGACGTATCCAACTTTTATAGATATTTAATAGATTCTATATTCAAACTTGCATAGAAAATATATATGGAATCATTGACTACTTATATTAAATAAATATTAAATATTATGATTATTTAATATGTTACCTCTGGTAATTCCTCCGGTATCTCTTCATCATCTATAACATCCTCGGTTATGACTTTCGCAATGTCCGCATTGAGCGGGAGTGCAAGTCCTCTAGTAGCGTTCTGTCGACTACCATTGACGATGGAGGAACGAAGCTTTTTTGAAAGGAAACGAATTGTTTAATAAATGTTAAATCGAGTATTAGATTGTAATTTACGTGTAGTATCAATTCTTCTCACGAATGGAATAGCATAAACGAAGACCTACATTTTTTCTCAACAAATTCTAACTCTCGAATAGTTTTAACTATAATTATTACTAGACTACATGCTTTTATAGATTCTTAGAAAATTTAACAGTGCAAAATTGCACAGAATGCGCAGAGTGTGAAAAATATACGAAATTCACGAACTGTGCTTTTTATATTTGTTAGTAAAAGCCATTTCCTATTGTAAATCTGGTTTCCTAATTCTATTCTAAAACTGAAATATGTATAAATATTCACAGTCTGATTATCACTGTCAGCGTGCCATGTCATCAACCAGAAATTTCTTTCGCTCACCAAAATCTTCGCCGTCCTGTTCTTGAACTCCTCGCCGTTGATCTTGATGGACGCGACAGTTGTCTGATGCTGTTCTTTACGGTCGTTAAAGTCTGCATCATCTTTCAGATCTTTCTCAGCACCGACATTAATCGAGGATAGTAGCACGACTGCCTACAAAACGAAACGGTCGTAATTATTCCTGTGTTTGCGTTACGATAAACTTGTTTATATGCTGTGTAATAATATTATTCATCAAGAAACTAGCCATCGGAAGAATAAAAGTCGATCGATTGCTGCTTGAAATGTTTTCATGAAGAAGCTATCGTTATCAGTTTCCGAATCGATTTATTACAATTCCTAACGAAGACATTTAGTTCCCTAACGAAGTTTAATATTCCAAGTTCCTGCACAACATAGTGATAACATATTCTTTTAAGAAATCCTTCCAAACCTTTTAATGGTACGGCTAACGAATGATTTTATAATAATTTCAAGAAGTGAACTGCGGCACAACTGCGCGGCTTCGACGTCATACACGTGGATTTTAATTACACAACGAGATAAAACGAGGACTCGGACAGCGCCTAATTAGTATTCCAAACGAGGACACTAACTGCTTCAGCATAAAGCCATTAAATTAATCAGTCTCGTTAATAACCTTTGGCTAATTCTAAATTACGGTACGCCTAACGACCGATACTATATCATAACGCGATTTAAAACGAGGTGCGCGGGGTACCTACCGGTAAAAAACGAATCCCCGGCTTTTTTCGCTCCTCATCCTCCTCCATTCGACCGGCGCAATTAATTCTTTTCCGTTAAGAAGTAGAATTTACGAGCCCCCCGGTAGCGGGAGAATAAAGAAAGAAGATTCTTGATAAAGATTCATTCGTGTCCCGAAACTGGTATTGCCTGTTTTATTTCTTCCTCCTTTTTATTCCCGCGTATTCTCCGGGTGCAATGTACCACCGTAAGAGGCATTATCGTCCACGGGCCATCGTTCCAACGAAGAAGACCGTTTCCCTCTTGTAATCGCAATTCGCGCGATTCGAAGGATAGGATTTTCCGAACGAGACAATAGCACAATTCCTTCATTATGAGCGCGGGAATTGATACCGGGGATGAGTTACGCGAGCTTTTCGCGGGCCAGGTATCGCGGAAGGAATCTCGTTTCGTCGTCAAACGGGCGGAAATGACGGCGCGATGCGCAAATTGACGCGTAATGCTATCTATCGGATCGAGAGTTTCACTCTCGACAGTCGTAGCTAATGGCAGATGCGAGCCTAACCGGCGACTCCATTGCTTTGCCCGTCGCCCGAATAGTCTGCCGGTCATGAATATCCATGTATGCAAATTAAGAAGCACCGCTGAAAATCTGATACGTCTTAGTTACCAATAAATGTATTTTATGGTATTATGGATACCGCGAACGGGAAATTTTTATTTGAAACGGGAAAAAGGGATTCAGGACACGAGTAACTGCCGTGATGGAAATAACGGAAGTAAGGATGTACGCGAATAAATTTGGGAGTTCTATTTTTAGGATACTGATCGTTTCGTTAGGTAGTATTATATTTTGATTCGTCATCAAGATCTAATGTCTCGGTTATTAATGATTGGTGTTACGTTTGGATTTCTATTATTCCTTTTGTAAAGTTCATTACGTTACATTTACACTCGCAATGCGATAATTATGTAAGTTACACTTTTATCAAAATTCCTATCGCGATCTGACGATTAATTGAGATCGATGAGTTGATTGTTGTGTTAAAGTAAGAGGGAAAAGGATACACGAAATCGTTTCTTTTTGTAACATAAGTTTAACGATACCGAAGTGTAAATCGCAATATCTTGCAGGTGAAAACATGCAATTTATATTGTTTTGCTTTACAGCCATAGTTAGTGCTATTGCATCTTGCAAATTGAAGGTTTGCAAAGCCGTGAAACGGTCGCGCGCATTTGTATGTTTCCTTTACGACGGTTGATTGGGTCTTAGTAAAATATTCTTACCAAAACGAACTCGTGAAAAATAACTCCTGCCCTATATAAATTGTAACGTCGATCTAATGACACGGTTGAGTTGAAATCGTAAGTTTTCCATCGAGCGACGCGGGAAAAGAGAATAAGGAAAACGTAGCCCACGATCGCCGAGACCGACGGAACAGGTGAAAGTTACGTTGTTCCAAATGTCCGACTAGTTCCGAACAAAAATAAGCATTTACGTCGCCGTAGTCGATATTCATTAAGATGATATCCGGCTGGAACTACGAGATACGCAATCGTTAAACCGTATATCCCGCCGATCGGCTCAATGAATCAGTGATTAATTGGTGGCTGTGCATCGGTTCGGTGCGGATTTTCATTTATTTCGTCTGTCTAGTTTCTCTCTTCGAATTTGAATAAAACGGTTGTGTAACTTTCACCCTGATACGAAATTACCGAGCTAGGGTAACTTTCTAAAATATAAATTTTTGACAATGTAGCTTAGCGGGCTTCAACGATTCTAGTGAAAGTAGCTAATTAATATTGCATATTACCGTGAAATTTGATTGAAATTCATAAAGGGAAGAGGAAGACGAGGAAATTCAGAAGTTCAAGTTTTTCGGCATCTTTAAATTAAGATAGAAAATTAGAAACTCATCTATGTCAGAATTATTTTGTACATATTCTATGAACAGCTTCCAATTTGAGTCAATTTCAAAATCAAATCACGTGTCATTAATGTCGAAACGAAATATTTTGACTGATTGCAACGAACATTCGAAATCAGATTCAGTTTAATTGGATCATATCAATCCTGGGTGGTCCCATATATTTACAGAAAGAGCCCCGGGGTACTGTACGTTGAACATATCTGATTTGGCGCTGTCAATTTTGCCACTGCTGCGAGCATCGCTGATGGCATTGATGTATGGCAACGAAATGTTGTGTTCTTACTAGTATTCTTGGGTACAACTATGATCAATCTTGTCTGAACCTAGGAGATTATAAGTTTCATTTCTTTCCCTTCCCATTGGAAAATTGAATAACAATTAAAGAGGAATATTAATAATAATTACCGTTATCATTGAAATCAATCAAATAACTACTATCAATATATAATAATACAACAAATAATAATTTCTTTCATCGTATATCAAAATTAATTTACTTCTATTGTACAATACATTATATAACTATGGTTTCTCTTCCCCTCTTGTCTCGAGAGAAATATTTTCCACAGAATTTGACAAATTCCAATGATTACATTACAAAAATTCTCTGAGCTTTTCAGCGAGTATCGTCCAAGGGACTGTTTCTTTATAAAGTGAGCTCTGATAAGCTTGAAAGCCCAAGTGTGATAATAACAGCGCGACAAAAGTGTGCGCGGTGTCAGGAAGTGGACAATGTAAAAGCACGCGCTAAGACCAGATGCATTATGCTACGTGAAATAACCGTAAAAGTGGAAATTCCAACATATCCTCTGCTGTTTGCAATCAGCGCTGACCCAGTAACCATGATGCTCACCAGGAGGAAGAGCTACGATTTCACTGACTGATCCTTTTCTTATGTATCGTTGTTCGTCATCGCTTCTTAGCTAATAGTCTACAATTTTCAGGATGTTTCGTAACTCTCTATTATAGTTATGACTGTTCGTTATCAAACAGCCGTAGGAATCCTTTCCGTTATGTTGCTTAAAATATATTAGCTGTGAGAAATTCGCCTGTTTTGTTTCGCTGACCCTTTACGAAACGCTTCACGTAAACTGCGTAGGCAAATGCCACATGCACTTGTAGCGAAGACGAGTACGTAGAATTATAAGACAATGGAAAATAGAATAGAACAGAAGAATCTAAGGATACTGTTATCTTACTTTCAACTGATTAAAATTCTTAAGGGGAAAAGAAATTTTGGTGTCTCGTGTTTCTGTAAATTGCTTCGGGAAAAAGGTTTTCTGCGACGATATGCAACTTAACAACTAACCCTACCGGTGAGACGACCGTATTTAAAATTCTGCGTTTTCTTTTCTTCATTTAACACGTTAAATGCCGCGCAATATCGTAGAGCAAAATGCAGAAAACGGAAAAAGTATAATATTAAATCATTTGATTGACTTGTATTATTATATAGCTAGATGTCACCGCATTATATAGCATTTTTTATAATATAGAAATGTTTTCAAATAATCATGGTTTAATTGAGTGAACTATAGTAATTCGATTTGGTTGGGGGTCACCGGTGACCCCCATGACATTCAACGTGTTAATTTCATATCCATTCCTATATTGTCCGATTAATTGGTTTTCCAATTATCATCCTTCCTTTTGTTTCTGTTTCCACTAAACAAAAATGTATCATGTAATGTGCCACTATGGTTAGTGTTAATTGCCCGACCTTCATTTGCACTGAATAATCGAGAAATTCTTCGGGGTTAGAATCACGCAATGGTTTTGGTTTCTGCGGCGAGCTGACTTATCAGTGCGTGTATTTACATTCAATTTTAATTTAATTGCAGAAACCAACGACTTTCGAATGGTTTGATTACACTTTCACACGCAATTTATACTGAATCATGAATTTTGAAAGGAAGGACTGATTTATGGGTTGGTCCCCGAAGTATCGATGCGTCGCTTGAAAATGAAAATGGTGCAGCCGTAAACTGCAACTTTCTATTATAACGTCCACCGCGTGCATAGACGCGTGTCTGATCATTTCTGCGCGTACGAGCGTTTTCTTGTCGAGAGAGACATCTGGCTTAATGCGCTTATGACTTTCATTATCAACTTTCGTGGATGTTAGATTATCATCGGGAACTTTCACCGGGATTATCGAGTCCGGGAGATAAATGCTCGTCGTAAATTACAAGTCACAGTGAATCTTCCGCTACGTGGCGGCGGATCAAACGAAATACCCTGCGATGACGAAGAAAAAGTATTTTAATCTCGCTCGAAGCTGCTGACTGTTCGTGTTCTTGTCTGTCGATTATCGAAATATTTTCAAAATAAACATTCAAACGTACATTATAACACTTAAAGTAAATAGTACGTAATACCTTTCCAATTGTGTTCATTTATCAACGTCGTTTATAATAACAATCCAACCGTCATGAAATCTGTTATGACATTAACTTCAAATAACATATCATTCGTCAAACCATTTTATTCTTCTGCTGCTGACGCAATTTAATCTGATTTCCTTGAAACCTGTCTTCAAAAAGTGAACTGAATAACAGTAAAACAATTATATTCGCTGTTTAAAAGAAATATTACAAATTTTACAGGTGTGTTCAGATTTTCGTGACTGGTTTCAGTGAAAAATGCGATTATGGAAATAGCAAGCTAGACATGCAACTTCACGTTGGCTAGTTGAGAAAATGTTTCACTCGCAACCACACGAGAGCGAACTCGGTATCCCGCAGCGATTCAGAGGAAGATATTTACTTTTCCTGGTTCCGACAGATTACCGGATCAAGGCCACGCAAAGGTTGTTCCACTTTATTCCAAGAGAACGAGCAGACGCGGTCAGGTGGACGGACAGTCAGTCACCTTTTAAAGATGAAAACACCGGATCGCGTCTGCGACTCCGAATCGGAAGGACCAGCGCGTTAAAAGGCGATTCGACATCTTTCCCGGTATTTTATACGCGAAGCTAAACGTCACGGGAATACTCGCAGCTGTCAAATAAATTCAGCGTAACATCGACTTCTGTGAGGCGTACTATAAATTTCCTATGAATCTCTCCCTGCTGGAAGCTTCCAAAGAAAGTAGTATCTACATCGACAATTTGGGTCTGCGGAATACATTACGGGACGCGTTCTTTGTTACTTTATTGGTCGATTCTCGTGATGAAGCAATTATACGGTCGAGCGTACATGAGATGGCCGAATTATTACAAGAAAGTATCGTGTAATTAAAATAAAATACGTTCTGCTACCATGGAAAATACCGTGAAAGTCATACCGTGATCATGAATTAAACTTCCACGCTACGATTGACAGTTCTTGTTAGAATCAAAACGGAATAAATATAAACGTTCACAGTAATAAATCGACTTGATTAAGTCCCGTTAGAATCCACGAGATGCAGAAATATTAATAGAATATAAACATGATATATCTAACAGAGTAATCACTATAACAAATTTTAACAAATACTTCAGTCTCATAAAACAAATCACTTCGGTGTCAAACATTTCTGAATAGTGGAGCATGCCAATTCAGTAGCAAACACTAAAATTTTTTTAATAATCCCTACCACTTAGTACCAATCACGACATCCACGATACAAGAATAAAACAAACTCAAGCAACTTACCACCGAAAACAGAAGAAATCCCCGCGTCATCATTGCTTCCCGTGTATTCTCTCATCAACTCGCTCCTTGAAAATCCGCGGAACAATATTCACTGTCACTCTCAATTGACGATCAATCTCTACCAATGATTCCTCGAAGGAAATACAATTTCATCACTGGGTCCTCAAACCTACTTCAAATCCCGTGACACCCTGTTCACCGAGTTCCCCGCGAGATACAGAGTTCCTCGAGTTTCACGTACTCCTCAAAGCCTCTCCCTTATTAATTCTTCGCGCCGCGCACAGTACAATTTATTAGGGTTTCGTGTGGCAGCGGAGAGAGACAGCGGCTCCACGCGTGTACCGTCGCGAGATGAAAAATTCTGCGGTCGCGGAGGCAGCACTGGCTCTTCTTCTTTGAGCCGGCGGTGAACGCGCGCGCGTACCGTCTCCTCGTCTTCATCGTGGCAGGGGAAGGAGATGCCGAGGAAGAAGAAGAAGAAGAAGAAGAAGAAGAAGAAGAATCGATGCGACGCCAGGCCGGCCGGGTCCTCACGTGGGGATAATGTAAGTAGGAACGAGCGTGGCTCGTCCTGCGTGTTCCCCGCTTCGCGCGCGGAGCCGTGACCGAGAAAACCGGACGGCGGATAAGCGTGTCGTATCCGAGAGGAGGAAGAAGTCGGCCATCCGACCCTCTCCTCCTTCCTACGCTCCGCTCCGAAGAGAGCAGCCGCAGCCGCGGCGGTGGTCGCCCGCGTCACCCTTGATGTGACAGCACGTCTCGTTTTCTTCGCGATAGTCGCTGATTGACTCATCTGCCTCCTTCTTTTCTTCTTTCAACACTCTTTATCGCGAACTCGCCTCGTTGTTCTGCTCTCCCTGTACCTCTTGATTCTGCACGCCTTCGTTTTCATTGTTTTTCTAGCGACTATAGGGAAAGCTGCGGTGGGGATCGGAAGGTGTGAATTCATGGGGACTCGAGGAGGGAGACTGTTGGAGTGGAAGTATCGGTGGGGAATAATTTTTTTGGTGTTCCTGTTGTTTTGAATGATTAATTAATTGACCTTCCGTTGATTGTTTTGGTGATTTTTATGGATGAATGGGATATTTAAGGGATTAATGGGTCGTTGTTAATTCTATGGAGTCAGTTAATTCAGGGCAGATACTTTGTTTGATGCTATTGGGGGTGCTGTGTGTTGTTTGAGGATATTTTGGGAAGTGGTGGCTGATTACAATAATTATTGTTTTAGTGACTAAATGAGGGTGTTTATGGATACTTAAAGTATTCTTTTTTAAGAGTCACTTTTCATTTATTTGTTTTCGTTTCTTCCTGAAATAAATGGGTATTCTCTTGTTCAACTTTATTGCAGCTTCCGTTTTGTTTTATTTTGGTCAGTACCAATGTAAAATGAAGCACGTGGAAATATTTAAAAGGTTAACTATGGAAGAATACTGGCACTTTTTACCTACCAAGCTGTATCTATTTATGACATTTGTTCTCGGTAAATGAGGACATTGTTGGATTGCTGTAAATTGATCAAAAGTATTCAGACCATTCCTTAATAATACCTTTCACGATTAGATTCCCGACTCTCTCGAATTCAAATCTAAAGTGGTCAATTGAAGAGCCGACGTGGTATTTCTCTAAGCTGCGTGCGATGTTTTCTCCGTGATTACCACTCCGAGCGAGTACTTTCGATGGAAGATCTCGTGTCTGCGGGCTTCGAAATAATATTAGGTCGTAACGCATGGAACGTCACTTCTTTTGATAAATTCCTTATGACACACATACGCATGTTACAGAAATCCAAATATGTACAATTAAGATGTCTCTGTAATACCTATCTCTGTATTATTTAATAAGAATATTCTTTTGTTTTATTTAACACAACTATTAACAAATATAATAGACTTAGTACTGAATTGAATGTAAATTAATTTTCAATAGAAGCGTTTAACGCGACTGCGGGAGAGCGATTACGAAAGTGTGGCAATAGAAAAAAGCAATATTACTTTAGAAAGTGGAATGTAATGAATTAATTATGTACTGTCTTTGTGCTAGTATAGTGAAAAGAGGATGCATATTAATTCGAGTGTACAGATTTAATATCCAGAACAGACGTTACGTGTAATGGAATTTTCTGATTGGAACTCAGAAGTGAATTATCACTTTAGTATACACTACACTCGGTTTTACCAAGAATTTACTATAATATATTTAATTGATGGGAAATTGCACCACGGAAATATAATCTTAATAAAGCTGTTTGCCGGCTTATACAGATAATAAAAATTCACATACATTTCCTTTATTACAAGCTTATGCCCTTCCTATATCTTCTGATTTTTCTGCGTCATTATTTAATGATCCATTATTTAATGACCTAACCATCCTACAATTCTTAACAATCCCTTAATCATTGATCCTAAGCACTTTTTAAACATTACATTAAAATGGAATCTACAAGTCATCGAAAATAATGAAGGTACATCTCACCGATTACCGTCCATTCAATTACAATCATAAATTATGCATTGCAACTCGCAATAAATCAGTTCCACACGGATACGTCAGAGGGAATCTCAAGAATACTCAAACATCATAAAAATCTCAGCACGAGTTTAAACCTTTCGAGCGGAACTCTGTACCCTTTGATGGACACATAAAAAACATCTGCAATCGAACCACGCAGTAGTAACGACTTCGAACTTTGACACCTGAAACCAACAGCTACAAATGAATAATTTAATTATTCAAATCAGGAAATATTGATATACGACTTTCTTCTTTTCTAATATTCAACCGTTCAGCAGTACGAACAACGTGCTGCTCATCGGTGCAACTTTTGCAAAACACACTTGTACTTACTACTAAAAAGTATTCACACTTATAGCATTACTTGTAGCAAACATATAAATATGTAATGTTACACGCTCTGTATTTTTGGCACGTATCGAAGAAAACCATTCCTCGCCCCAATGATTAAGACTTCAATGCATAATTCAATTTCTTATGCGAAGAGTTTCTCGAAGCTGAAAAAATCCTCGTCCCCGAAGGGTGAATACATCGCTGTATCGTCCGATCAAAGCAGCCGGTGCGTCATTGTCGTAAACAGCGGCAATTAAAAGCGAAGCAGCGAACGTTCTTCCGTCAATAAAGTTTCCCCGGCGCGCGTTAAATCCTGCCCCCATTTAAAATTCGTTTTGCTTCGCGCAGCCCGCGGCCCACGTCTCTAAATGGCGGACTGACGAACGGAAGGGTGAAAGCGGCTGAGCGTTTCTGGATTAGATAGGATAGGGTTTCGTTTCGAGCACGGCCGCCCGTTAAAGCCGGCAATCAGCGTTCGTCACTCCTCGCATGTTACTTTCCGGGGAGTTTCTATGGCGTACGACGGGCATCGGACGCGGCCCGTAATTGGCGACATTTTGCACGAGAACGTCCGGCGCAAGCAGTCGTTACGGTGTTTAACGTAACGTTTAACGAAACGGAATTACTGATAGAATCTACGGAACACTCGGGGAAGCAATCGACGCGCCGCACAATCGTTGATGCACTGTAGTATTATAGTTATCTACTTCGGGATTGCGACGAGCTCCTTGAACGCGGCTGACATCTCTCGCGAAGGGATTCTGCGTGTCAGAAACATTGCGACTGTCATTACGATGGTTGATCTATCGATCAATTAAAACCTAATGAATAACAATGTTCTATTACAAATAATTTGATATAGAAAAACATTCGAATATAAAGTCGCGTTTCGAAAACCGTAGTTGACACTTTCTAAGATAGACATATTAAAATTCTGTTTCCAAATGAAACTGTACAACCAGTTTATACCCAGAACTTCCAATAATTTTTCGAAACTCAGCTACCCGTAGCGACGTAAACACACTTTCAAATACCCGAACACGTACAACCCGTTCAAATCGGAACGAAAGCGTGTAACAAACATTTCACGACTTTCGAAAGACTCTCATCTTAAACCCTTTCGCATTTTCCATCGTACCGTGGCGGACAGCGCGAGGAGATCGTTAACAACGAGCCATCCGCGGAAACACGCGAATGAATAAGTTCGAAAAACGATTCCCGCCGGAAAGGGTGGGAAAAAACGCGCGCTCCGCGTACGGGGACTCGTACGTGGCCGGTGTAACATGTCCGTGGCGTTGTCGGGGCGTACGTAACGCCGTATAAACCGGCCATACCGATGCAATAACCGTTTCCTCGATCGCTTTAAGTGACCCGGCGATCGTTCCGCGATCGATTCCTCGCCGGTTTATTTCGATTTCCACGAGTCCCTTAAACATACCGGTCGGGAGAATCATTGCGTCGCAGTCCCGATGGTGGCAGGGCGAGCGTCGTTAAGGCCGTTCCTCGGGGACACGCGTTCACGCGATCTTTATGCGGCGGCCTATCGGCTGCAACGCGCACGCCGTTCCGGAATGCAGATTCAGCCGTGCTGCAGGCTCTACCGGACAATGGACAACGGCGCCCGCAGACTCGTATCCCGTGACACTTTACGCGTGCCCGTGGTAGTTCTGTGTCGCGAAATTTATTGGAGAAAATTAGGAGAGGAGGCGTCGTAAAAGTTTCCCACTTGTATGCGAGATTTATACAGTGTCCTCTCGGATGCGCGTTCCCGGTCACGTTACATTTCGGGGCGACCGTTGATCGACGGTTTAGCATTCTCGGTAATGTTCGCTACGATTGTATCGTGGAGTAAGATTTCTCCTGTTTCGTTGGTACTCATGTTGATGAAATATTTCGGGCAGTTGATGTTCGTTACGGATGAACGGGGTTTGAATATGTGCGATTTGGTAAGAGTGGTTTCTGGAATGTTCGTGGTTTTTGTTCCCTTCAAGAGGTCTTGTGTCGTTGAATATCGATGCTACTTGGCAGGAAACATTTACATTCAATTGGGATGATAAGTAATGATTATTAAACATTTTCACTGCGTGTAATGTGGGAAAGGATGTTTTGCATTTCTTGACAGTTTTTGAAAGATGATTGTGTTTCCGTTGACCTTAATGCTTTGAAAGGATGCGTCCAGCGTAAGAACAATCGCAGATGTGATAAAACGTAGAACTCGCGATCTTTTAACTTGAAAATCGTTGAAGTTTATTCTTTCGAAGTGTTGGAACGTGTGTTTGAATGAGCTTGTCGCGCGAATTGGAACGCCGAAAGTGTGTTACAGTTCCATGACACCTGTTGCTGACTAGGCGCGTCAGCAATTAACCGGTACCATCGCATTCTGCTGCTCAACCTCGTTTTTTCGATTGTTCCGTGTTACTGGAAGTCACTTTCACTGTTTTCGTTTCAAATTAGCCAATTAGCTTTTAACTGTATAATTTGCGCGTCGCTTCAAATTGCTCGTTTCCTATATTTACTCCTTGTTAGGGAATTAAAGACATCCTGGTTTCCTCGAAACTTTCGATGATCAAGACACGTTCTTACCATAATTAACACCGAATCCTGAGAATAATTTTAACCTTTTGTTTCTCATTGACCAATTACAACGATCAATGGTCTACATCTTTTAATCCAAAACGTGTTACAAAAATCATTGCCTTTGAACGTTCACGTTCCTCACAGCTTGTGAGAAAGCTTAGATCGAAATGATAAATCGTATCTCTTGAACGGTTGCACGTAACAAAATTAATTCCAAGAATTAAAGCAAACATAATTTACCCTTCGCGTTGAGTACAAAAGGAACGAGAATCCGATGTGCGATACTGACATAACCTACTTCTTGAAAAGGATTCAATAAGAGACCGCCCAACTGAAGAAACCGAAGTCGCAATTGCTTCAAAAGCCTCGGCGTGTCTTTCACTGCCAGAAATGGTTAGCGCGGTATCTAAAGATATCTTTTATTCCTTTAAAAGTCGCTTCACCGACGTTTCGTTAGCGATGTTCTATCACTGAGGTGGAACGAAACAGGAATCTCGATTGTTGAACGGTAATAAATAAAAAAATTTAATAAACGCCACGTATTCGCGATAGCCCAATATTCCCGATTCGACACACACGCTCGTAAATGGTTTCAACGAGTTTCGGGAAAGTGAAACGCGCTCGTTTCGTGAAATATTTAGGTCACGGGCTCGTTAACTATACTATCAAAAAATGGCGTTGATCAACGAAAGGCAGAATTTTCAGTCGGTAACGAACGAAAGTGGAACGTGTCACCGTGATCTTACTTCTGATTACGCACTACCTGTCTAGAATGGCAACGCTCTTTCACGAGCTTCATTAAGAACTTCAATGGTTATGACCGTTACACTGCGAAGTTGCACTGCACATGGTCACAAAAATTTCATTCAAGTAGAGTCGGTAGGAATTCCTGCAATTAGGGCAATAGTATTAAGAAATGCTGAATTTCAACATATATTTTATTAACCATAATATTAAATGACGAATATCATTCATAGATTTTGTTAATATTAATATTCATAAAAAATACGAATATTACCGTGTAATACATTTGACGAATATCAAACGGAGTCCATTGACATAGAAAATCCGCGTGGCTGTGTGGGAAAATGGATACGCTATGTGGGATGAGACTGTGCGTTATGGTTAGGAGAAAGGATATAAACGAATACGAGAGAAAACGCGGGAGAATTGACCCGAGTGATCCCGTCATGGGATAAGTGAAACTATGATTTACGATTTACAGTTCAATTGCGTTAGCACAATAAGCAAATCAATATTTCCTTACCATATCTTCTAATACGTACTATTCCACGAATATTATCCGTCGCAATCGTAATATATAATGAACAGGGAATACGTAGGAAACAACACACAATTTTCTCTGAATTGTTTAGAAACAAAGGAATCGGTACACACTAATATGTTGTATCGTAGGGATCAATAAATTTTACGCGCCTTTTAAATGAATCATCTCGCGACGTCGGATCGTTGGTTCGCCCACGGCAATAAGCGAGTCTGGACGTTTTACGGCTATTTCAAGATTTCTGGAATGCGATCCAATTTACGATAACGATCCTTATCCCGGTGCATGTTGCGGCAAGCACACGACTGCTGAGAAAAGTGAAGACAACTTCGGGGAACGTTCATACGCCGTCCACACAGTTGCTACTGACAGGTTTCAGGGATCACTCAGCAATCCCCGATGATTTGACCCCCGTACGGCTTCGACTCGACAATTACCTGTATAAATCTTGTACGTACAAAATGTTATAGACGTTATTAAGACGACAATCACGCCGAGGAAAAGATTTATTAATCATGCACGTCGTAAATGGAAACATTGTTTTTGCGCGTCAAACGAATCCTTCCCGAGGCGAAAGTCATCAATGTCACATAACGCCGAAGCGTTTGGGAACCTCCGCAATAAATTATCGATCCCGCAATTTAATTATTCCGGCGGATCTCGCGCAATTCACTCGGCTGTAAAGCACCGGTTGTCGCGAGGATTCAATTAATAGACAGGAACCTCTTCCAGATGTCCGAAGCCGAAGGATAATACCGTTACCAGGCTGGCGTGGTAATTCCTGAAATTATGCAAATGCTTCGCCTTTTTTTCTCCTTTTCTCTCTATTTTCGTCAAGCAACGTCTCTCGGTGATCTGATATAAAAAAAAATACTGAGACTGAAGACTCGTGTTTTTTCGTTTTATAAAATCACGCGCAGAAGACGTTATTTTTAGCCGACTGGTTAATACGTTGAGTGCCACGGCAGTCACCGATGACCGGAACTTCCAAATTACAAGATAATATTCATAGTTCGTAAGATAACTGATGTAGAATCAAAATGCTCAGTAGCTCAACTAGATAATGATGTATTAATTCTTCCTCTTTATCTTTGCTACAGAGAGAATAAGTAATACATAAAATCCTGATGTCTTTTGTGGCAGCCAACATGTTGACTACTACGAGCACATAACGAAATCGAAGTTTACCGACGTGCCGCCTAGTTGTTTCCTGTTTCTGCCGGGGATCGCGTTGCAGACGGAAGTTCGAGTGTTAATTGCGAACTGCTCGCGTAGTCCGTGACGATGATCGGTCTTAATTAGCTGTCGCGGGTGGAAATAATTAAGACGTCGCTCCGAGCTTCCTATATCGAAATAACAACGGAGGTTGATCGTGCAATTTTGATGAAAATTGTGCATTCGTCAACCACAGATCTGTTAACGTGATAATTCGTAACTTACTTAATGAGGAGATTCGCTGTATTTTTTCATTAGCTGGAAACATTAACTTCTTATGTTGTGAATTTTATTATTCCAATTTTGCATTGCCACATTTATGCCACGTACTTTAACATTAATCGGATGATATCTTCGTTAACTGATATATTTTATGTAATCACTAAAACACAAGCTTTTACTTTAAAGTCGAAGTTTTACGAGTGAATCATATTTGATTCATAGAGACATATCGAAACTGATACTACGAAGCAATCAGTTTTACTTTACACTTGAAAGGAAATTATATATTTCAAGTTAGAACACTGGGATTCCACGAAAATATATAGTTTTTTATACATCCTTTTTTTAGTCAAGAAATTACCACGAAATAAAAAAAACATTACGAGCATAATTTGTCGACGAAAAAAATTACTTCCTGGGCGGCGCGTAAATTGCGAAAAGTACTCTAATTTCGAAGTAATAAGAAAAAGGAAAAGCTGAATCATACCGATAAACGCGTTAATTGACGCAATAAAACGTTCCGGCTAGATAGCGATATAAGAAACGAGCACGTGAATAGTGTGGCCAATAAAATTAAATCATTCATCGTGTCTCCCAGCCCTCACAACGCCCACAACTTTTTAAATGGGATCTTTCCTACCCGCCTTCACTTTTTTCTTCCTCGAACCCCTGACTCCGGAGACTTTGATGGAACGAGCCGAACGCACCACCGCGTCGCGGCTTTCGCCCTTATCTCGGCCGTCGGTTCGTAAATAAATTTGCGTGTCGTTGGGGAACGCGATTCGATTAATCAAGAACCGAAGGTACCCTCCAAGTCACACCCTTAATTGCGAAAACGGCGTTCCGCGCTCCGAGAGGCCATTAATAGCGGCAACACTCTCCGTGCACCGATAATATGCAGTTTCGAGCCGAATGACCTGCGATTATTTTGTATCGCACTGACTAATTTTTATAAAAAATCTGACGAGATTGCCCGAAGGAAATATCACCGACACATATTGTGCATTAAGAACCCCGTCGGTTTGAGATGCTAATTCAATTTTTAACAGATTCACAACTTCCAGTGGCAAATCGTTTTATACACACGAATCGCAAGAATAAATTCGACACGTCCGTAACAACTAAGAAACGTATAAACTGAAATAAATGAAAATTTCGTTTTATACAGCCACTGTTATGAAGTGAAATTTTATTATATAATGTCCTAGATCCTTGTCTCTATCTGTATCGTGTACATTTTCCAAAAAATGTTTCGCATTTAAACGATTCTTTCGATAAGATGTTTAATCGATGAGAATGATCGTCTTGGAAGTTCTCGGTAGTCGACGAAGCTCTCGCAGAAGAAAAATAGTGGCTGGGAATTTACGACAACGTTTACTGACAAAAAAAAACTTCTTACAATAGTTGAGTTTACATACAATAATTCTTGCATTTTTTTGTGGAAGGAAAGGGGGATGGGGGGAATGTGTGTATATAGGCGCGGTTCACGAAACTACGCAGAGTAACATCGTAATAACATCGAATATCGACATCTTCGCTTCTCTTCGATAATGCGGAAGCGAGGTCGGGTTCTCGAAGAGGCATCGAACACGAGTGTATAAAATACAAACTTAATACGATAAACAACCGACAATGGTGGGGGCTTTAATCGGCTCCGTGGAGCTTTCGCAAATATAAAAAGTACGCGTATATCACAATCCAGAATAAATTCACACGCGGTCCCTGCGTGTTCATTAAAATATAGGCCAATCGCCACCCCGTACGCGTCGAGAGAGACTAGAATGATTAAGAAATAAATCGACGATTGAAAACTTACATGCTTAAGAACGATTACATAATAATACAGGTATTATTGGACAGTTATAATTACGATGAATAGGACGACGATGGAGGATGATCGTTTGTTTCCATTTCTTTTCCGCTTTTTTTTTCACTTTTTCATCGTTTTGATTGACAGAACGCGTCGTAATAATGCGACACAGCGTTTTGTGGTGAGGAATTCTCACAATAATAAAACACCGAAGAGACGCGATCAATGTTCGCGATGAGCTGCGTGATCGGTCGTTCGCGTGTGCCGGGGTTTCTCATCGGGAGCACTCAATTTTCATTGAAATATAAAATTCTTGAAAGTAATTCATTTGAGATGAACGTGTTTTGATTATTTTCAATGTTAAATGTGAATTTTTCTGTACCTGTATTAATTTTGTATTATGTCGTAGTTAGAAGAAATGTTTAATGTTTGAGACCTTTTTACTTTCCAATTAAAATCACTTATACACCAATGAAATGAATACTGTTGTTTCACGAGAAACACCGACAAGGACGAACATTTGATGACTGGCGCATTAATTGGAAACGCTAGATGCATAATAATACTACACGAAGTACTTAGACACTTTTTAACATTTTTTTTTTGCTCCGTGTTCGAAAAGAAAACAGTAAACAACGTCCGTCATCCTTACCTATGCAGATAACTATATCTTTCCATTTGCATTGCTATCGTGTCCTAGTTTCGTACAAAGCGACTTCGTTCGTCATTTAATACAAAAACCGTTCACACGTACACATTAATCAACGCTCTCGTCAATTCATATACCGCCGACTGTTGCTTAAATTTTCACGAATGTCACAGTCCAAATATTAACTCTGTCAAAAATCTTGCCAAGGAAATTGACTTGCAAAAATATTTCTGAGAAATTTGGAGAATAGAAGTCAATGTTTTTGTCGAAGCTGTCTCGAAACAATATTCGCGAGGTGTCGCGAAAAAATTCAGCAGATTAGTCATGTTTAACAAACACGCTCTCGTTGAACTTTTTCCTTCGGACGAATAAGAAACTATGGACGGATGCTGATTTCATCTTCACTTTCGATACTAAGACTAACATTCCGAAACACAAGTTCAAAATCATCTGTCGTATCGAAGACTTTTACTCGAACAGTTTCAAAATTTAAATGCTCAGCCCTATTAAGTTATTCAAAATATTATCTAATTAACAGTCTTTCGTTACTCAATGCAATCAACCCTCATTCTTTCGCCTCCAGCGGTACACGTGTCACACAAAGAAAACGCAATTAGAACAGCCAGTCAGCTAAGAGCAACGTTCTCAGCCATTTTTACCATACTCGATACCATAAAAAATAAAGCACACTCACGCATACATCTATCGATCCATATCTGCTTGTGTCTCCCGAAATCGCTGTGAAAAGTCAATCTTCTCGAACACGGCCGGAATTCTACATTAACTTTGTTCTCCGACTTCAAGAGGATCGTCAAATTCGTCTCTGTACATGAACCGATCGGACGATCGATCGTTTGGGAAACATTATTCTTCACTGAGAGGGAAAAATGGATCGGAGGGATGTCGGAGACATCGCGAATCCAGTTCTCAGTCGGTGCACTCGGACGCGAAGCTCTCGAGATCGACGTAATGTCCGTTCAAGTTGTCCTCGAGCAGCTGTGCCAGATCCCTCCTCAGCGTCTGGAATTCCGGCCTGCGGTCTGGATCAGCATGCCAGCATCGGGATATCACCCTGAACAGCTCGCTTCGGCAATGCGAAGGCCTCTCCAGTCGATAACCGTTCTGCACGTTCCGCATGACTTCCCGTGCCGTCATGTCCGGGTACGGTGTCGAACCTGCGGACACAGACAGATTTTTTCCGTTATTGGCGGGATTAACGTAATGAGGAATATCGTCCATAAAATATGTTCTGCTTGCGTCGAGACGGACGGGCGAGCTTGAAAAATGTATCAAGTGGTAAATAATTATGGATTTGGGTCGTTAACTTCCTTGATGTCAGTGGGAATACGGTAGATGCATCGATGATTGAAAATAAATGTAAGTATTAAGGAAACGTATTATTATTCTCCACTGAAAAGTAGCGTTACAAATGATTTGTGAAGCGATTTCATGTTTTCGGACCGAATTGTTCATCATCGAATATCGCGTGACGCTTCTTCGGCGAATTCTTGATTTCTGTTTAACACGGTACCGCGAAACATTGCGCAATGTTATTTATGCAATCACAGCTCGGAAATAGTCGCTACCGTACTAACAATGGTAACCAAGATGCGATTCAACAGTAACATCAGCAATTTTTTCATCAGAATCTTTTTTCTTTACGTAGAATAGTGTTCTCAGTACAATCAAAAATTTTGCAGATAATAATACCTTTACAATAATTCCTTTCCCACTATCAAGGTGTTACATCGAGATATCGAAAAGATTAACTACCACATTCGAAAACAAGAATGGGACAGGAATCGAGATAAAAGTGAATCGAGAATACCTAGAGTGACGATCTCCCACATCAAGATCCCGAAGCTCCACACGTCAGTCTTGGTGGTGAAGAGCGAGTAAATTAAGGACTCGGGTGCCATCCATCTGATAGGCAGCGCGTTCCTCCCGTGCCTGGTCTCGATCACCTCGCCGTCCTCGTTCGCGAATCTGGACATGCCAAAGTCCGCGATCTTGCAGAGCTTGTTGTGGTCCACCAGCACGTTCCTCGCGGCGAGATCGCGGTGGATGATCTGCGAAACACCGAGACAGAGATGCACTGGGACGTTGATCGACATTTTTTCTCTCCCCCCGCGTGTATCGTCGACGACACGGGTGGACGACCGCAGGTGGACGCGCTGTTACGCAACCGCATCGCGTGGTGTCGCGTGACAGGACGCGCGAAATTGTATCCTTCGCGGGCAGGTTCCGTCGGCTTGGGCGAGAAGAAACTCGACCTTCGTCGCGAAAGCTCTTCTTCATCTTCCTCGCCGGCGAATTTATGAGACGAACTTTACGAGCCGCGGAATCCACGGCTCATCACTCCGTAACACGGGCGGCGCCGCGCGGTCTTTATTACTTATTATTATTTATTACGCACGGTGATTTATCGCTGCGTATTGTTACCAGCCCGCGGAAGCCAGAGTTCGAAATTATTCTCCAGTGCATCCATCAGGAGCCGAGACGTTCGAATCGGGGTAGAACGCGAACACGAAACTGAAATTGCAACTTGATAACGATTCAACGTTGAAACGATAATGTTAAAACTTCGGATATATCGAGATCAATTCTAATTATAGTGCGGCGCATGAATCGATTTTGCCAATCCTTCTGTTGGTTGATAGAATCTCCGCGGGATGGTTAATACACTTCGAGCCCGCCGGCGATAGTATTGCTTCGCCACGCGTTCAACTCACCGAAACCGACCGCGTGTGGCGCTCTCACCGCGCATTAAAGTCTCCGGCCGTACTACTGACGCGCGCTGCTATACCGCGCATTGAAGTCTTTGGATTGATGGAACGAATGGGGCTTAATGAATGTTTTTTGAACAGCTATCAGTTCGAATATTTCATTTTGCATCTCGTAGCTTGATTCTTCGAATTTAAAACTTATTGTTTGAAATCGCAGTGGAGGTTTTATTGTATTAAAATCTGATTCTACATTAAATATCATTATGAATTGTCATCTTCCTGTGATATAAACATAGTGGTATAAATAAAATACAGAAAATATGTGTAATGAAATACATTGTTAACTTAAAATATTTGAAATATATTGGAGCAAGCTATATGTAGGATAATCTATTTCCAAAGAACTAATCAGTATAATTTATTCACTGTTAGAAAGGAGCGTTTCTCAACATCTTAATCAACATTCCTGGTAGTCAGAGGATCGAAAATAATCAATCATACTTTCTACCGGTGAGGAACGTAATAGACGGGAACCTGTTCCGAAAAGAAGCGGCGTTAGGCGGACCAGACGAAGAAAAATGTTAATTCGTCGCGTGCAAGCCGGTCGGAAAATCGGAGACCGTACTCGTCCGCGGCAGATGCTAATGAACCGCTGTGGCTCAATGTCAAGGCGAACTGGCTATAACAAGTACATAAGTCTTCGCTGTTTCTTTAATGACTTCATCTTCTAGATTTATTGCGGCGAGATACGCGTATAGCCAGATAACGAAAAACGCAAACGCCTTTTCGTTTGTCGTTTCTCGATGCGCTCGTGTTTTTGCTCGCTCATCAGCTCCCGGCCGACAAGAAAAATCCGTTTTATGCCTCGAATACCTGATTCTTCTGCTCGCACGAATACGTTCCGACGCTTGATACATTGTAGCCCAAAGAGGAAAACGTGACGCGTGGTTCTAGGGAAAATAATTTGACGATCTAATAAATATTAATAAGGGAATACTCGCGAAGCAATCCCCTTTATTACACAGCAAACCACTTTTTGTACTGCATAATTTAAATATACTTAACCTAAAATATTCAGTACCGAGAATTCTGTTTTTGAAGACCCAAAGACTGTACTTGAAATATCAATTATTTCCATATAAATGATTAAACACTTTGAAATACCTAGCATAAAGAAAGAAGTGAAAAATATAACTAATGACTCGATATCACAATAATGTAGAGCCACAAAATGACAGTGTATATTTCATTGTTTATCCGTGATATGTAATACAACTGTATCATGGTTCCTCGATAAAGAAACTGAATCTCCTCGATGCTCTATTTTACTGATCCCATCTGGTTCGTGTACAGAGACTGCAGCATCCAATTTCAATTAACCGTACAATGTATATCGGCCTCGAGAGGTATTTCTACGAAGTCGTATATAATCTTTGATTGAAATCGACATCCCGACTCTGTTCGCTCTCGACTCGTCCTTCCAACGACGAGAGCCCAGGATACTGATCCCAATCGAGGCTTCGTTCCTGTTGCTTGACGCCTGGAGCGTCTCGACTACATACATCTACCCGCGAATCATAACCGGTCGACGGTGATCCGTAACTATTTACCATTTTATAATCGGCCTCGGGCTTGCTACCGATGACCCAGGAACACTTAAACCTGACACGGGAATCGGCTATTCGCGTGCTACGCGTGAACTCGAAGTAATTCGCCTCGGCATGCGCTACACGCTTTAGTGGATAAGAATTTTCATGAAAGTGAACATATCAAGGATTTCATACATTAAATGTTATAAATATAATTAACTTTAAAATAATTTTATCTATTATTTCGAAATTGTTCTATTCTATTTCATTTTCTTGAGAACTTCTCTATATTCATCACTTTCCCCTTCTATAGAAATTGGAAACTTAAGACCACTGAAATCATTTAGTGCGTTCAATTCATATTTTATAAAACATCTGGATACATTGTTGAAACGTGTTATCACTTTTACTTCTGTAAACATTTATTTTCGAAAAACGTCAATGTGTTTTCTATTATCGAATTTATTTCAGAAGTCAATCGTTTTAATTGGTTAAAAATAATACGAGAGAATAACCTTCTGCTTAACTTTCTAATTTCTTTCTTTAAATAGTAACTAAAGGGGACGAATGCGTAAAGATCCGCACTCTGCTTAATACTTTCATGATCCTCTCAGCACACTAAGATCAGTGTGTGTTCTCGTTAACGAAATATCTGGTAAATGTTAAGTTTCATTTGAATGAACACGAGAACCATAAGAGAACACTGGCTAAAAGAAAATTTATGAAGCTGAATATCATCCGACGTCAGCCGTTAAGTGCCAGCGACAGCACTAAAAGAAACTCCATTAAGTATCGGGGGATGCATAAAAATATTTATTCTGTATTTTTTACGCGAACCACGCGCGCCGGGCAGGAAAGTTATAATCATGACGCTAGGAATGCCCGGCACGTTTCTCCGCGTTATGACACCCGTAGTCGCACGTTCCACGGCGTGAAATTTGGCGGACCGAGCGAGAACCTGATCCCCCGTAACTATTACACCTTCCGATCGTTACCGTTCGATTTATAACGATGACGTCCCACCTGCGACGAAATCTAAAATTTTCGAAGAATTTTTACGATCGTCGGTGACATGTTCATGAGATAGACTTTCATTAATTTCAAGCACGTGGCATAATAAGAACATAACTGAAACTAGTGACACACTAAAAAACCTGGTTATAAAAGATATAGAATTTATATATTACACATGTTCTCGTGTACGAAATAATATCGAAAAAAAAATTAGATACGATGCGAGGGAAGAATTAAATGGCAAGGGAATTCGTGACTCGCTGAAACAGCCCGGCGATCGATATATTTAAACTCGTCGATTTTCATTTGTTAATGACGGGAATTCTTTCAGCGACTAATAAATTCTATTCTTGGCGCGTTTCGTTCGAGTTAGACGGCCATAAAGCTTGTTTTCAAAGGAGCCGTGCCAAAAAGGCTGCGTCACGAAGCCCGGGTCGTTACTTTTCCTTCAAACATGGACAAAAGGCTACGGTTTAATTGATACAAACGTCTTTGCGTGTTTCCGCTAATGCAACTTTATTGCCTTTTACACTGTGCTGTTAGAGCGCCCGGAATAACTGTTCTCGGATCGGATTGACAGGTTTGCCCACTGACACTGATTTGACCGGCCAAAATAATACTCGTTTCTGGGTCTCGTCTTTATGACAGTCGGATAATATTTGAAGTACAAACAACTCCGTTGGCGATTCCTTTGTTGAACCGTCTTTTTTTTCGCTCTCGACCTTCGATCGCGGGCGCGTGCCTTCGAAGGACAAATGATCTTCGCCAACGCAACGCTTGAAGATGCTTGAAATTCGGCAAATTAAATTTCGTTAAGAAATTACTGAAAAATTACAATTCAACGAAAATACTAGTTATGTTCTTTGAATGCAAGTGAATCGATCGAAGGACATTTTAATAAATTTGTTTCATTTCGGTGTTTTTCTTTTGTTTCTTTTAGCGATGATTTATGGACTGAAACAGATCCCAGAAGAATGAGAACGGGTTTGACTCCGAATGAAATGGAAGCAATTTTTTTATTCAACACGGTAATAAATAGATGTTGAGCGTCCTGTTCTTGCTGCAACGCGAAGATCTGCCGAGCACGCGAGGACGTAAAATCGTAATAAATTTAGAAGCTGAGAGGTCCCATGGAAGCGATCGAAATACAAACGATGTTGGTGTTCTCTTGCGCTTAGCTAACTGAGAATTATTGCAATCCAACTAGCGAGGTGTTCCATGATACTCAATGAATCATACAGTAACAGCTATACTGGATTTTTACGCAAATTCAAATATCCAAATTTATAAACACTGGAATCGTATAATAATTCATTGTTATAACAACGCATTATTTGCCACGATAATAACACGAGAAGCATTTCAAACTTTCGTAAGTACATAAAATCTGCAGTCGAAAAGTGGTATATAATTGCAACAACAAAACAGAAAAGAATGCCAGAAGGAACAAAGATAATTAAAATGAGAAATGAGAATACGATCGGTTCGAATAGGAGTGTGAAACGGGCGAGGTTCGCCGTAATTTAATAAGCTACTATTAGACCTAAGCCTGCCATTATGCCTAATTCGATTTCCGGATACCTCAGAGGTAAATTCAATCCTTCGAACCTCTTACACGATGGTAATAAGGAACTTAGTGTACCATAATTAGATTTCATATGCCGGTGCATCAGTATCTTCTGGAGGTATCGAAATAAATAAAAGATCCTGGCACGATCGTAACAAAAAGAAAGAGAAAATAATTACCTTCTTCGATGCCAGATACTCCATGCCTCTCGCGACGCAGTATCCGAAAACAGTGAGATCCCTAGAAGTCAGCGCCGCCGAATCCTCGCTGAAATTGTAGAAATCCTGTCTGGTGCGATGGTCGCGCAGATACGCCAACAGTTTCCCGTACATCACGTACTCGAGTATAAGGTAATGAGGCTCTGTAAACAAGCACGGTTACGTAATTAATGGCACGGTAACGGCCTTAAAGTATCGTGAAATGATGAAGTCCGATCGGCGGTTCAACCACGGGACCAAGTAAAGGAGCGTGCAAGGGATTAGAGGACCTCATGGCGAGAATATGAAGGGCTGTACTCTGAGGAGGCCCTTAAAGTAATTTAACCGGAGCACTTTCGGGCCCCCGTGGGTAGTATCCGGCTGATTGTAACTTATGGGCCCACTTTTGCCGGCCCCACGAGCTCGTAACTTTCATATTAGGCTAGCATTACCGGCCTCTAATAACTTCGGTTTGTTAAAGGGGCATTTCTTTCTTCCGGTCATTCGCTTCTTCCAGCTGGTCATAACATTTACATGTTGAGAGATGTATGGCCGTGACAGGCTCGATTATGAATGTCGAGATTCCTGCAACCGTGCCGCGAGTGAAGCGATAAATCTATTATTGAGTGGGAGAATATGACAGACCCGAGTTTGCCGCTTCGGTCTTTGGATATAGAATTTAGTGTATAGTTAAAATTTAGGTTAAAATCGTGGTTGAGGTATTGTAAAATAGTTCAACGTTATTTAGGGTACAGCAATATGGAGGACTACTAGGTAGAAATTATTCTCAGAGACATGGAAACTATGAATTTACAGGATTTGATTCCGAGAGAGTTACAATATCTGCAACAATAAAGATATTTACGCTCATTCGAAGTCTTGAAGTAGACATAATTTAAAATTAAAATAAAGACATCAGTAAAATTGCAAATAACAAACTCGAGATCGCAGATGGCAGATAACTAGCGCCGAAAAGGGACTCCGCAGTCAGTTAACACAAAATGCTTTAATTCCTTCTGACGCGAAGGAATGCCAAAGAAATTTGTGCTTTACACCTGGCCGAGCTACAGGCCGAGCTACAGGCCGAGCAGAAGTATAGCCGTACGGCTGCCGAATAAACGATGCCGGCCTGTGCCCAAGCACGTCGTTGAAATTTGTCATCGATAACTGGTGGCCCTCGTATAATGATCGCCACGCGCGATGGTTTATAGCGGGAGGAAGACGTCACGATCGCGAGTGCGCGCGTCGCGGCGTTGCTGGATCAAAAGATACGGCAGAAAGTCGGCAGTTAATGTTGCCCTTAATTCATACGCGCCGCCGCGACGTGGAATCTCGGCCGGGGGAATAAACAAGCCGGGCCCCGATTAGACCGTAAAACGGAGAAAAAGAAGAAATCATAGAAAAAGAAGTCTGCGCGGCCGAAATCGGCTGGCGGAAGGATTCAGGAAGATTTCTCATTGCGTCGGACCAATTTATTTTTAACTATCTTCAGGGCACGAAGGGATCAAACGACCGTGCAGCAATCATACTGACGCTCCTGTGTGTTAGCGGCGAAGGTATCAACGAATGCGCCCCGCAAAAAAGGAGTCGGGCAAAAATAAATCGAGTTTACCGTGAAGTAGATATATCCCTGGCGACACGTGTGGGCTTCGAACGAAATAACACTTAACGCGCACCGAAGAAAAAAGGAAAAGGACCATTTTATTATTGCATTGACTTATGCACCGTCGCGTAAAAAGAGAGTTACGCGTAGCTGATCTTATGCGCGGTTCTTTTCCGGTGATCGTTACTTTCGCGAGGCTTGCTCTGCCCCACAATATTAAAATATAGCCGTTTATGAATATTAAAACACTTTTAATCTTGTGCCTTAAAAACTGCGCGGTGCCGCGACGCGGACTGAGGGCAGTTTCGGGACACACGGTCATAACCCGATAATATATCGGTAATAACTTGGAATAAATCGGTAATTCGGAAATCGTGCGCCGGAGTAATAAAGAATCTTTAATCTCGATAAATTTCTGTATTTTTCGGGGGAGTATTGTCGTCTCGTTTGTTTCGAATGTATCGTCCGCCGGATGCCCCCGTTGACCTTAATTATTCTCGCGTGTCCATGACCGCTCTCCGATTTTATGAAACACCCTGTATATGCGTTTGGCCTTCGACAGGGATCGAAGGATTTTTGTTTCTCGTCGTGAGTCGTTAGGAAGGGCGCGCGAGAGGGCACCCTTTTGACGAGAGTCGGGCGTCAAGGGACGAAAACGTCGCTCGAGAGGAATCTGAGCGCGCCCACCGGAGCCGAAACGATAAATACGGGGGCGGGGTACGGGGGCCGAGCGGGGGCAGAAATTCAGATGCCGTAAATCTTGCGAGGAGGTCCCCGCGACCCGTGTTTCTTCTTCTATGCGAGCGAAACGAAGTCGAAGATCCTTCAGGAAGATGCGCCGAAGGCAAATACATCTTCCAAGGCACTTAATCATCGTCGACAATTATCGGAATCGTCTTGTCCAAATGAATTTTGCTCACGACCATTGCAAATTTGGGAGCTTCCATCGAGCACGAGGATGCGTTTACGAAAATTCTCGACGGACATACGGTCAAAGTTACTTAGATCGAAGAATGATAATACGATAGAAGAGCGAAGGATCGAGACTTTGACGAGGAACATTTGAGTATCTTTTTTCGCATGCTGGTAAAAACTGCATTTGTATTCGATGCATTTTCGCGAGGCAGTAATAACGAACTCATTCCTTATGCACATAAACAATACTTCGTTTCTATTGAATATTCCTGTGCACGCTCCTCTTGCTTTTCATATTACGTATACCTGCCGTCGCAATAAAGCAAGTAACTATCACCGGCAGGACACACTTCACTTTTATCAATTTGCGCTTACTTTTTCCGATCACGTACGCTGTTCCAGGTTTCTTGGCCATTACCGGGCCGATTCTCTAACGACATTCAGCAAACGGAACCGACCGGATTGCCTCGAACCGTCTGATATTCACGGCGCTCGGGGAAGATTTAACGGAACCCCGTAAGAACAAATCACCGGGTTTTTCTAAGCGTCCCTTTAAAGAGAAACCACGAAAAAATCGTTCCACGAAGAAGGGACGAAATTTCATGTTATTGCTAGACGAGTTCCGCCGGCGCATTAGCATACAATCGCGAAAAAGGGTAGCGCACGCATAAATAGCGGGGGAAGCCGCCGGCCCGACGTCAAATCCAGATCGACCGGGGATTCTGGACGATCGTATCGATGTTGCCGGTATTCTCTGGCCCGCGAGCCCCATAGGAGCGATCATTTCACCGACTTAATAGACGTATTGTGCCATGAGGATCGTCGCCGTGGGGACGCGTATGGAAATTTATACGATGAGAACAACGATACCGACGAGCCACGAACGAAAGACGTATAATGGGCCTCCCCCTTCAACCACGGCACGACTAAAACTTCTGATTGTCTCGTCGCAGTTTTGATGTCTCAAGCACAGATTTGTCGCTAACGGCAAACGCTGTACCGCGTCGAAATATGTAATATCGTATTGTCAAGGTGTGAACTCTTATGTCGGCAACCAAACTGTCTGCGAGTAGCCAAATTCTAATATTGCAATATTTTCGCGCAAGTTCTTTATTTTCGAAGCAACGATCGATTTGGAAATGTTCAAACGATGGAGATACAAAGGAATTTTGATAAATTCTCAAGAGAACGGGACGAAATCGCGTAGAAGGTTTCAATGTTGTCACTGCGAGGTCTATGTCTGTTCATATGTGTGTAGAATGAACAGAATGTTAAATATTTGTATTTTTGTATGAGAAATAGACGCTATTTGGAATGATTCTTTTAGCTGACTTATTATACAATTTTGTTGGAATATTTTGTTTCTTGATCTTTTTTTAAGAAGCAAACAAAAGTCAGAAACGATACAAGGAGAACGCATATTGCATGTCGAAACAGATATCGTAATGTTTGTTCGTTCCGAGAATCTTCAGCTGAATCACGTTTAATTACCCCATTCGATGCAATTTCGAGTGGAATTGCGACGTAGAATCAATAATTGAGGAGAAGTTAGAGGGCAAAAATAACCTATCAATTAGTTGATTTAATGTCCTATTACGGTAAATGAGTATATAATGATATAACCATCCTATTTGGACATGTCAGACCTCCATTTATTCCGTTGCAATTATACTCGATGGCAACGGACAGATGTGTCAACTTGAAGATAAGCATGCACCTCGTTTTATAGGTAAATAAATTTCCAGTAGAGGATTTGTACAATTGATTTTTGATTAGTATAATTGCTTGACTGTAACGTTTATCCTTCGATATTCAGACAGCAGGTCTTTATTCCAGGATTTCTTGTGTTCCCAATTCTGGAAAGGACGCGTTTAATTGGTTTCTCATGAATTCGTTACTATCAACTACACGGAGCTCATTAATACGTCAGTTTTAACCTCGCGATTGCCATTATCTAGATTCATTACTCAATTACATGCGAGATGATTGCGCGTAAGCAGTCGCATCCTGCGAAGTTAACTATCGATCGATCTACCTCTTTATCTGCAAAACAATACCACGCACGTGCAAAAACGATTGCCGATCGCCTGACGTTCGCACGAAAAAGAAATATACGGCTGTCGCTGACTCAATGACAAAGAATGCTTCCCTTGCGCGATTCCCTAATGATGACTTCAATATGCATAGACTCGACGTTTAACGGCGATGTAATCGGCGTCGAAAACACGGAATCGTAAATAATTAAAGATGCATCAGCTTGTCAGAAGATAAAGCTCAATTTAAGAAGCGATTGCTGTTCGAAACCAGTTATCGCTACACGTTTCATGGGCACACTGAATGTAAAATAATATTTACACGGTCAGCTTTTCTAGGAAACTCTCTGTGTCAGGGTAGTGCGAGCTGCTTCCTTTCTAACACCGTTTAAGGACGCGCGATTCTATAAAAAGTGAAATCAATCATACAGAGAAATCCGATGAGGTCAAAGGAATGCATGTAAATTCTGAAACCTTGTCGATTGTCACGCTTATATTGAATCCATAATACCACTTTTATGGAATACAAGAGTAGTCATTGCCGAGTAGTAACAACAACAAATACTAACAGCAAACATTTCATATTCCGTATTTCACACTCTATTAAAGTAGTAAAAAAAATGTTTTTATGACAGAGATAAAAACAGCTATCGAAGCACGTTCGATTTTAATGCAGAAACAAACACTCGGGGTACCTATCCTAAATTCTCACCTGCTTTATCAATTTAAGAGATAGAATTCTGGGAAACAACGAACAGAACGTTTACAGATTTCTTCGGAAATCGGGCATTTCAAGGGTAATAAATTGCGATTGCTGAGAAAATGTATTTGACCACTCTAAAATGTTAACTTTAAACTCGAAAAAAATAATTTCAATTTGGCAAGTTGACAGATATAAAAATTAAAATGATGGCCGACGAGCGTCCAAGGTGAAATTCCAAGAAAAATATTTGGGAGGCAAATTTCCGTCGAATATCACGTTCGGCGTGAACTCAAACAAATAAACTTCATCGAAAAGCTTGATTACTTAATCATCGTGTCGCAGTGATCTACGGGTTCCCAGTAAACGAGTCGGCACTTAAGACGCTACTAGTTTTTATAAAGTTTTACGTCGACGGGTCTAGTGTACGCAAGGTCGAACCTAAGTGATTCGTATGTGCGGTCGCGAATAAAGGTGTCAGAAGCGGTTGCAAAAACGAGAGTGAATCCTCGTGTTACCGGTGGCAAATTAACATACCGGAGGTGCAATCATTTTTAAGAGGGCTATAATAACTCAGCCTCCGTTGAGGATTACGTTTCTCGATAGAACTACTCTTGACCCCACGAGGATGCGTAATTAATAGTCAACTGTTCTCTCGCACAGTTTAACATGACTACATAATTACAACGTTTCTTCAATTAAAACGAACGTAAAATGCAAATAACTTTTAGCCGTGAGTAGATAAGTACAGCAGCAGTATAACTTAACTGCTTGGATCAAAGGGTTGATGATGATAAATTATTCGACTTGATAATATTAAATGCACAAATTAATTAGATGCTTTTCGATTTACTCATTCCTCGTGATTATCTAACAATAATTGCACGTTTCAAATGAAAATATTGTTTCCTTCATTGACAGAATCTTTACGGTGATTTTTTATTAAAACTCAATTCATATAAAAATAGAATTCATAAATAAAATTTGAATTTCGTTCGAAATGATACGCAATTAATGCACTTAGTAGAAATTTTAACGTGTGTCAACGTTAAATCATTAATGGAAACACATTAAGATTTTTAAAGATAAAAGTATTCTCGAAGCTCACCTTGTTCAGTACAACAACCGAGTAGAGTCACGACATTCGGATGACTGCCAAGCTGTTGCATGATCTCGAGCTCCCGAACAAGATCTTCCTTTTCCCGGTCGGAAGCACCCTCTTTTACTGTTTTGACGGCGACTAAACGAGTCGTACCTTGATGACCGGTCAAGTCGTCAGCTTCAGCCTTCCAGACCTGGATGATGGAAAAATGAGACGTGAATGCTGCTCCCTAATAGCATTTTAATTGCGCGTTCCGTTCGTTGCGCCGGGGTGGAGTTAACCACAGCTTAGAATATTCTTAAACAGTCCCCCTCTCATGTGAAATGATGTAACAGATTCAAACAACGGACACTTAGATCGGTTCAACGTTCAATCATTTTCGAGTTACCGGTGACGACGCGCAGAGAAGACAATAATATTCCTAAAGCTCTTATGTAAGAAGCAGTAACTGAACAATAGCCAACTTTATAGCATATCATCGTTTGCATAATTTCTAAGGTTCTATTCATTTAGAAACCAACACAGAATATTCTAAAAATTTCCTTGTACTTTCTGAACCTGGCAATTTCTTGGCTTTGTGAAATTATACTCAGAACGAAATATGTTTAAACAGTTCGGAATGAGTATTTCTATAAGACGATATCCAGATAATAATTCGGTATTCGCGAGAAATTATTGAGAAGTATGTAGTGTAATATATTCGAATGATTCGATGAAACGAAAGAAGGGCATTTAATCAAAATCAGAAACGGTTGCAACGCGTTTCTCGTGTTCACAAGAATTCCAAGGACGTGCCGTAGGATAAAATTCGCGGTTTTGCGAGCGCTGAACGTTTCGCGCTAACGTCCAACGATTTATTATCACGCGGCCGCCTCGGGACCGGGGCTCGGTGTTTCTGTTCCGCTCGAAGCAGAAAATAATGCCTTACCTGGCCGAAGTTTCCTTGCCCGAGGACCGTCTGTAACCTAAGCTTATCTCTAGGAAACTCCCATCTGGATTCTTGCGACGACGGGGGCGGAGGTTTCTCCGCTTCGTGACACTGCGCGAGGAAAAAAAGAGCGTTACTCAGCCGCGAACAGTAATTATTTACGTTCGCTGTATACTTATTATTCTCTTGAAATAAAAAAAAGACTAATAGTATAATATCAAGTTCACGATTTTCTTCACTTATAATTTTGAATTTTTGTTATCCTTCTCTTTTAATGGAGAAAGGCGTTACTGTATTGCGAATGGTAATTATTTACGTTCACTGCATACTTATTATTCTCTTGAAATAAAAAAAACACTAAAAGCATAATATTAAGTTCACAATTTTCTTCACTTATAATTTGAAATTTTTGTTAACCTTCTCTTTTAATGAAGAAAAGCGTTATTGTGTTGCGAACGGTAATTATTTACGTTCATCGTATACGTATTGTTAGATTACGGATCTCTATATAAATTGAAATGTTTAAGGATGTGATTCGAAAAATAGAATTACAATAGAAAAAGATTTTCTTTAGTAGGTACTATAAAAATACTTTGAATATATTATATATCGTTTTCATATCGTATACGTTTCATGCATTTTGCATTCTTAAATTTCCCATAAATGCGCAAAGATCCGTGGTTTACTTACTTTTTAAAGATCGAATAAACAGCGAAATATCGAGTTCGTGATTTTCTGTGCTTTGAATTCTCGAGAGGTTGTTTCTGTACGAACATTCCATTAATTGAAAGGTAGTCGAATGTTACAACGGTTTTTGTTTTAAAACGTGCGGGACTCTGGACGCACGAAATAAATGTTTACAAGTTCACTATGCCAACAGTGCTGACAAAGAAACTGAAACCGATCAGGCTCGCGTGAGCTATTGCTTTGGTACTTTATGTAATTGCTCAGCTGGAGATGTAATCACTACCCGATGGGTCCCGAGATAAGGGCGTAATTAGTGGCCGATGTTAGACTTCAACTATAACTGATTTGTACGCTGTTAACCGTACAACTATTCGCCGTTAACATCGATACGCCAACTGCAACTGGGTCGAAAGAAAGTTAACGGATACAATAGAACCAACAATCAATTTACTCTCCAAAATTAAACTACAAAACGACGTGTTTCAACGTTTATAAGTGTACAATACTCAATTGCATCGATTAAGACTGTAACCTTGCAGAAATATAAACGGTACGCTACCCACGCAATACTTCTCTTCATAACGAAAGCCACAAAAAAGAGTCCGGGACTGAATTATTAATAAATCATCCACGGATATTCAAATAATCTTTTCATTGTTAAGGCTATTAATCTTCCCACGATAGCTGCGTTGCATAAACTACACTTCTATAAAATCCACGTGATTCTTAAAATCAATATTTTAGTCGTATTCATGTAAGTGACTTGTGTAACTTGATATCCGGAATTAATGATCGGTGTCAAAGATACAAGGTGATACGTATTTGATTTAATAAATAATTACAGAGTACAAGAAACGACGGACTAATACCAGTAATTAAACCTACAAAGTATAAAACGCTGAGCGTACGCTTACCAAGTGTTGTATCCTCGGCAGTTTCGTGATCGCCTTCTCGATGGAGGTTTTGAAGTCACCGTTTTCAAGGTTCAACGCGTCCTTCCGGCAACTTATCTCCGACGATGTGTCCGACTCTTCGAGCACCTGCGGTGAAATTAACGTGATTACACGGCGCGCCGATATCGCGAAAAACTTCGCCACACATTTCAGTTCAATCATAATCCATCTCTCTGTCAATGATTTTCGTCAGAATACTCGTAGTCGACAACACGCGAACGCAATTTAACCGGTCGTCTTATTTTATTAAACGTTCCGATGAACTCCTCACCGTTCCCTTGTGAAAGACAATTCGTTTTGACACCACGGCGAACACGAATCCTGCAAGATAACGCTGACTCGGTGGTCTTGAAAATATGCAAAACAGTCGTCGAACGTCGTAAGACTGATAAAGGAAAAAAAGAAAAGAACGACGAATAGCTTTGACGCAAACGTGCGGAGAAATATGCGACTGTTTGTTTTTTTACTTGTGAACGACGCGCGAAGAAGAACTCGTGTGGTTCGTTTAATGTCGCGCATGCTTCGTTTGCGCTTCTGTTTAAGACTCGTTCACTGTCGCCGAGAAATGAACATTTTTGACGCGAATATCGCTCAGTCGACTTCAATCCATGAAACTTGTATCTAGCTTACAATGTAAAGAGCAATACATTTAACGTCCGTATTTACGCGTACATCGAACATTCTGGCTGTATCGAAGTTCTTTACCTTCATTTTTAAATTCCTCCCTTTCAACCGCGACGAGATCATTCTACTCCTCTTCTTCCATTCTTGAATTTTCGAACGTAATATCAAACTGAACGGGCGTAAGTATTCTTTTCGGAGCCTTAAAACGGGTTTGCCCGCCGTCTATTTATTTGGCCCTTGCACCTCTCCATTCTTTCTGCCCCGACACTTTTTCCTTTTTTTTTACGTCCACGTGACCCTTTGTACCACCGTGCAAGCTTAAACCCGTGAATGTCCAGTTAACCAGAAATTTATGTCCCCGATTTTTACGGCCGGTTGCGCTAAAAATACTCGACTTGTCCCAAATACTTCTACAAATCAATGTAACCCCCACACACGGGGATCTCTCAAAGACGTTCGACGAGCATCGATGACAGTAACGCGTGTCAGCCGCAGAGAATATATCTTACTCGACCCTACTGACAACAGGGAATACAATACTTCCGCGCGACAGCATCGCGAATGGAAATGTTTTCACGGGTTAAAATAAGCGAGTCGAATTTTGTTCATTATTTCCCTCGAAAAATAATGAATGCATTTTGTATACCCGTCACGCGATTAGACGCTTAACGAGAACAATGCCGCGAGCTATCCTCGCATTATGTAATTCCGTATTTATTTTCTCATTACGTCGAGGCATTATACTGTCCGATGGATCTAACGATGGGATGTCACGCCGCATTCCCGCCCGAAGGAAGACACCGGGTGATATGCGTCACACGGTGAACCTAGCGATCATAATTGTCGATACCCGGTGAGTCAGTGGCGGACCTTCGCGAATCCCGTAGATCGATCGACGACCGAATTACGGCACGAGATCAGGGCCGACAAGTTTTTTCAAAGAGCGACATATAAGTACGCGCCGCAACGTTGAATTTACATTACCGATGCTTCGAGCGTATCTAAAACGTAGCGCAGTGACTGTTCAAAGAACACCGATCATTCGAGAGTGGAAACATTATTTTTCGGAAATGAAAGCATTGCACTGCTGAATAATGCCTAGTTAAACGGTTTACTAATGTTCATTTCTGTATAACAAATATTTTGTAGATAGGTATATTATACATATTATATACTGATGAATGGCACGAAGTAAACATCGTTGCCATTCACACACAAACAGCACGCGTAAAACGTAAAAACCCAAACGTCTATCGTGCAAATAATTATGGTTTACTGTGGAAGCATTATCTAACGTAACAAGGATACAACGAAAAGAATAAGCAGATGTAGCCAGACATCGAAGTTCGGTTATCGCGCGCAGGAATCTTCTCGCACCGGAACTGAAGAACGCCATTAACAAGGCACTTGAAAGCGCCAGTTACCCAACAGCCGCGCCATTTTCATCGGAAGTAGCGATCTTTCATTACGCTTCATTCAATACGCTCGAGGGGCCCCGATGATCCACGGAGTGCTCGCCAACTTGAACTTAGCGCCGCCGATACCCAGGGTGCGATTAATTCCTCATGCGCAAAACCGTTCCGAACGCGGGTGCTTTGAAGCTAATCGCCGAACGACTCGAACCTGACCATCCGCGAACACGAGACCATACTGCAAAGATTACACGACGGCCTCTTTCTCTTTCTCTCTCATTTCTCTCGGTTAATGGCCGAATGATAAATGCTCCGAGCTCAATGATAATCCGCGTTGCCGCGTAACGGTACATAAGTGGCACCGCCGTACGATTTGCGTTTCGATTTAGCGATCATCGGACAGATACGGTTTACAGTACCGATGCTCATAAATCAAACGTTTTTGCCGGCAGCGGAGAACGTTCTCGGTCAGCAGGGCCGAGAGGAAACCGAGACCGAGGGAATCGTGGCCAATAAAAATGAAAGGTTCAACGGTTCAAGGGTATCATTTCGACCGTTCTTCCTTCTGCGAGAGGGTCGGCGGGCGCTGTGATTCACCTGATCAATTCGTCGCTAATGTCTTGTAATATTAAAATTCCTCGGGTTCGGCGAAAGGTTTCGTCATACTTCTGTTTTGATCGGTTTGACCTAGAAACTGATGTGCGTAGTTGTGAATCGGACTTGCGCCGATGCTGTCGACGATATTTCGAAATTTAATATGAAAACTGTGGGGGTATTGATATTTTAATTCGTTTCGATGCTTGAAATCGATGCAATTTGAAGTAGGAAATCTTCATGAAGTTATGGGCAATTTCTTGATATTAATGAAATTGTGAACTACTGCGGATATAAAAATGTAATTACTCCGAAATCGAGTGCGAGGAATCTATCAAGTTCCGGAAAACAGATGAAGTTCGCGGAAAATGGATGGTGTACCTAGAATGTTGTTTTTCTGCAATTTTGTACTGTAATTCGAGTTCAAGGACATGTACCTGCTACTCTTGTAACTTTGAAATGAAAATACATTGGAAACCGAAGTAAAAAAGAGAAACGTTCTATTCAATAATTTGACTAATCATTTTCCCACTTTTTTCACCGTAAATTATTCTTAAACTGAAAGCACATTTGAAAAAATCTCAAAAGAAATTTTTTAAAATCTCTTAGATTTCCTCTTTTTCGTCCTATGAAGAGAACGAAAAAATAAAAAGTCGAATAACATTATAACAATCATTGCATTCTTATACCAAATAACTCAAAAAAAGTATTCGTACAGTTTACAAATGTGACGAGAAAAAAAAACCTTTCATATACACCCAGCTACGTTTATCAAAGATCCTCTATCAAGGCCTGAACCGCAGCCACCGAGCACCGAACGCCAGGAAGAAAAATGGACGGACGCGTCTCGAAAAATCGTGGCGATCTCAAAAGTAAGGAGGTCACTGACACCAACCTTATTCCTCCACCTCGTCGAACTTTCACGCGCGGAGTCTGGGCACCGAACCAGCACCGAAGATCACAAGACCACTTTCATTCAACGACCTATATTATATATGCATACGCGGAGGAGATACGAGGCGTACTTTCTACAACCGGCACGGCGAGACAGAAAAGACATGTCCCTACGACCTGGATGTCCGGGACGTCCACTCACCTTACGATTCCTAAGTATCAGTCTTCTGAGAATGAGGCCAACGCCGACGGCGATGGGGAATACGACGAGGGTCGCCAGGATGTAGCTGACCACGGCGACGGTTTCCTGGGACGCGATCGCGTCGCCATCGTGTCGCTTCGATATCACTTCACTGATATTCACCGACTCCCTGTGACTGACCGATATCAGTCCGGTCTCGAAGAACGTCCTGTTCAGTTCGTCCGGGTACACGGACACATTGTACTCCGGCAGGATCGCGTGATGATAGACCGGCCTGTGCCTGGTCCGGTTCCCTCCATTCACGGGCCCTCTGCCAGGGCCCGTCGGCGGGACCTGGGTTGACGTTTCACGACTCTCCTCGTGTCTGTCCTTCCTTTCCGTAACGGGAACACGAGTGTTAGAGTCATTCGCTCCGCTTTTCGGCGCGATCGTGTCGTTGACTTTCTCGGTCGTTCCGGAAACCTCGCTCTTCGGGTGCACCGGAAGCTCCACTCGCCGTTCCGTTCCACGGGAGAACGAGTTCATCGGACCGCTACCGTTGAATATATCCGAAGTATTGTACAAGTGCATTATAGGCAGAACATCGTCTTTGTCTTTCGACTTGTCGGACAAATTTCGGGCCCTCACTTCCGGCGATCTTTCCCCGGACACGCGTTTCCGGGGATCGACCGACGCAGAGGTCGAGGATAAGGTCACCGAATCCGACGTGCTTTGGTCCTGTGGCATCGTAGATATTTCTATTTGCACCGTGGTGATCGGCGTCGTAGGAGCTTCCGGTGCAGCGGTGGCATTCTTCGACTCCGAATTCGCCATGTTGAAAGGCTTGCTCGCGGTTTCGTTATCGGCCGCCTGGCCGACGGGTTCCGTAGGGTTTAAGGTGAAAGTCTCGTTGTCGGCCGGCGGCCGAGCCGTTTCCGTGATTATTCTGGGTGTAACTGGAAAAACTGGCGGCGGGATCGGTGTCGTGGTCGGCGTCGTTTCTTTGGGCTCAGTCGTTTCGACCGCCGCGGTCACTGTCACGGTCGACGAACCGCTTCCGTTCTCGGCGCTATTATCCACCGCGGCCACCGCCGCCACCGCGCTATCCCCAACGGACACTTTACTCCCGCTCGCGGGCGCACTTTCGTTTTCACTCGGCGACGCGTTTAATTGGTCTTTGGCATCTGTCCTCGCGACCGGAGTCACCGGCTCTGTAACGTTAGCCCGTTCTTCTAACTTCATGCCGTTGGAAGCTGTTCGGGGTGTAGTCGGATCGACCGGTTCGGCAGCAGCCGTGCTGAGGAACGATTTTTGCTCCATCGCGACACTATCCGCCACTGTCATGTTCCCAGCTGCGTTCACCACCGCGGTGCGATTCACTGGTACACCGTCGCCGCGTACTTCCGCCTCATCATCCTTCTTCCCGCAATCCGACGACCCGTTCACCGGTCGTTCGTTCGAACGGTTCTCTTCCAGCAGCTTCCCCCCTTTCACTCTCCGACTGCCGGAAGCCCCAGTCTGTCCATTCGTCGTCGGCCTGCGCCTCTTGTTCACCGCGGTGGAGCCAGCAGCGTCCTCGTCGAAGCCTGCTCCGATCCGTTGATTGAGCACCGCGCTCGCCGACTTCCTCAGGAACCGTCTGTCCCCGAAAGAGCCCTCGAGGTCAGTGTTCCTCGGCTTTGCGTGATTCCATCGGACGGGACCCCGGCCGCCCCCGTTGCCGCTGTTCAACACTTCCGTCGGTTTGCCGCTTGGCCTCGAGCTGCTCTTGTTTACGGTCAGCTGCGGCTGTGCTCGGCTGACCGCGCGTTCCTCCGGCTGCGCCGCGACTGTAACGACTTTCCTCTGGCGTTCCCCCACCAGTATCTGGGCAGCGGACGATCCACCACCGGCTGCGACTGCTTCGACGGTCGTGCCGGCACTGAGTTCCGCCGGCGCTCGGCCCGCCTCTATACCACTACCGGCACGAGGAAGCAGAAGAAGAGACGGCGGCGGTGGCTGACGCCGCTGCGCTGATCCGGTCGTTATCTCGGTCGTACCGGTGCCCTGCTCGCTGCCTCCTTGTTCCTCTCTGCTTAACCCAGGTCCGGTGTAGTTGCGCAATAGCCGCGTCACGTTCGTTATCGTGTAAGCGTACACGTGCTGCTGCTGTTGTTCCTGATGTCGATGATGCTGCTGTTGCTGCTGCTGTTGCTGCTGCTGCTGCTCCTGATCCCGATTCCCTTCGCTGGCTCCCTTATCCTTCTCCGTCCGATGCTTCTGTTCCCGATGTCTGTGGACCTTGGACCTCGGCGTGCTCGTCTCCGTCATCGTCGTCGTACCACGTTCGATCATGGCTGTACTGCCAGAGATCGTGCTCGTTCTGGCCGACACGCTCGACGGCGGTGGTTCGTTCGCGGTAACATCGCCGGAAGCGCCGACGCGAACTCGTTCCTCCGCGGAATCGACCGGTTTAACGGTATACCGCTCCACGGCGGCCGTGTCAATCCCGAACCCCTCTACTGGACTCCCCTCGGTCACGATTATCCGGAGGGTAGACGTTTCCGGTGATGTCCACACGATTCGAAACGGTTCCGTTGTCGAGCGACCGATCTTGTCCCGAGAGGTGGAGGTCTCGATGTTGTTGCTCTCGCGGGGGTTCAGCGAACGAGCCTGATCCCCGAGGGTTGAGTCGGCCTTCCGGGAAAAATCGAAGGTACTCCCGCTGTCGTAGATGTCGATCCTCCTTATCCTTTGTTCCGTATGATCGCCGTACATCTCCGCGTCCGACAGCGTGGAGGCGGTATCATCGGCGTCCATTCGTATGCGTTCTTCCTCGGTGACGCTCTCGTTGCTCAGAGTCATAGAGGAATTGTCCGTTTTCTTCCTGCGGACTGTGCTCTTCGGTTTCGTCTCCTCCACGCCGTTCAACGCCGCAATATCCGCGGGACGATCCCGAAAACCGATTTCACTTTCCTCGGGCCGGTCGTACGCGTTCGCGGAAACGGTTCGCCGGTACGGTATCTGGGTCGTGTTGGTCGCATTCCTCGTTTCAGCGGGCAGCACGTGGGTAGCGGCACTTCCTCTCTCGTGGTCTCGCAGCTGGTCCCGCGCAGCGACGGCGTGAGCGGACGGGTTATCGTCGCGGGACCGATCCCCAACCGTGTCCCCATCGCCGGTAGCGTTTCGCCCTGTCTCCATCGTCGCGATTACGTTCGCCGCGATCGTGGGGTCCGTCGTCGGCCTGGTCTTCCGGTAATATAAACCATTCTCCGTGCTCCTGAACGCGTTCTTCAGCTTCGACGGCTTGCTTTTCTCGATCTGCCTCTCCACCGCCTCGTTTGCGATCTCGTCGAGCCGCGCCGGTGCCGGCGTACTCGTGCCGCCGTACCTCTTCGCGGAGTACCTCCTGCGAGAGGTGGTAGGTGCGGTCGATGCCGTCGGCGTGGCTTCCGTCGAATCGTTCCCGGTCGCGTTCTGCGTTTCCGGTTGGATCTTCTGGCCGAAGTAGAGGAACTGCGTCATGTCCTCGACAGGTATGTTGCTCTCGACCGGCCTGAAGTAATTATACAGAGACTCGGACATCGAGACGATGTTCCTTTTGCGAGCGTCCGTATCCGGTGCCTTCGTCCCGACAGTCGATGAAGACGTCGGGGAGGACGGCGTCGAAGAGGAATTTCTATGGCTTATCGTGTAATTGCTTCTCGTGTTACCGGAGGCCGGTTTGCCCTCCACGCCGAGGCTCGACGCCGTCGAGCTGCTCTCGTTGCTCGGTTTTCTAGGGATCGTTGGCTCCGACACCTGCCCGCCTTCTCTTTCGAATTCGATCAGAGGCGAGTCCCTTTTCCTTGGTTCTTCCACGATAATCCTTGCGGGTGAATCCGACGTCTCCTCTTCGATCGCCAGCTCCGCCTTCCCGTCACCGGATGCTGTTACGTACATCCCGTGCCTGGTTTCCTGGGCCTCCAACACGTCCGGCGGGTCCTTCGCCCCGGCCTCGGCCGGTCTCACCGCGCGACTCAGATTCCGCGCCTCGATCGGTCGCTGGCTCAAGATCTGTCGCCTCCTCGCTGCGAGGATGCTGCGCAGAGCTTGCTCCCTCTTCGCCTTCGACGACGGTAGCTCGGTCTGAAGGGACATGCGACCCTGCCGGTGATCGGCCGCCGAAGAATCTGGAAGCAAATATTTGAGGAAGTGAGCCGATGAACCGACTGACCCTACTGGCGAAGGTAACGGGTCTTGTGGGTAGGGGAATTTCGGTTATCTTGTGAAATGTTTGACTTGTGAAAATAAGGCTCGGTATATTTTGTTGATAAGAAATGTCTATTGAATCTAATTTTCATTTGTTGGGAGTAGATTGTGGAACTCTGTGCAGAATACATTTCTTTTTATGTAATATACAAAGACTAGAATAGAATGAAATTTATGCATTATTCGTTCCTGGATTCTTGTGTTCTTTAAATTCCCAGTCTATAATTTGTAGTCTAATTAGAGCGAGTAGAAATACTTTTATCTGTCTAATTCTGCGAGGAAGAACTTTAATTAACGCATAATTTAGTTTTTATTTCATTTCCATGGACTATTATGGGAAAATGTTAAGCTGTGAGAAAGAGTAAGTGAAACATCACCGTAAATGGCAAATGTTTCCACTTTATTGAGTGTTTATACTGTTACGAAGATTGAATCGTGCTTGAACGATCACATTGTTCGTGATTTAAAGCGGCCGTTTGGACAAACCGAATATCAACGTGTGGTTAATTCAATTACAACGGGACCACGGCGCTAATCATTAGACATTCCTCAGAGCAACGTCTTTATTATGCGCGTCGGTTACCAGGCAATCGGCTTGAATGTGTTTACATAGAATTATAGAGCAATAACGGAGCGTCCGCGGTGTTCACTGATCTCGATGTGAATAATTGGCCGCAGTAGTGCGCCGCCGTATAATCACGACATGCAACGCCGTTTCGTTCCGGCATTATTCGTAAAGGGAAAGTTCGGATAATGTAAACGGATCTGTAACAATGCATCGAGAAGCGGCCGACAACGGATAATCGTTACATCAATTCGATCACACGATACGATTTCTCTCGATAATGTCCCCGATCGAATATCATACCTCGGGTACAGCGCGCAATTTTTCAAACGTTAAAACAACATAATTTGAATAATGTAAATTAACCGTTTGACCATATTCCGCTGACATTTAAATTTCAATGGAACCTCCCGGATCATAAAGAAGGCGTTGCGGTGGGTTTCACCTACGCTAATCACGTCGTTAAATCCCGGTTTACGGTAACAATGAACGCGCCGCAAGTGCTTCGCGTTTCTGATATGAAAGCTATTACACGCAGATGTATTACATAAAAATTGTAATAGTTACATCGGGAATGCGATTCACGAATTACTTGAAATGCATTACTTAAATATTATCCTCGGTTTTCCTCAATCTCCGTTCGGTTTCGACAGAAAGAGACTCTTCTCGGTTGTAAATTTGATAGCAGAAACAGGTTTTCCGCTCCTATTACGTATTCAAATATTCCACTCAAATATTCCACTTCGATTAATTATCAATGTACGTATCAACTCAGTGATGTACACGGGATACCATTTACATTACACACGTCGCGGCCCGGTTGAGGAGGATAAACGGAACGTGAATGAGAACGAATCAGCGAGAAGGCAGTCCTTAAAAGAACGGGACGTTCATCGGGGTCGCGGATGGCTGGTTGGTCTTGTTATTTTTTTCTCTTCTCCTCCTTCTTTCTTTCCAGGGTTCCAGAGAGACCCTGTACCGTTAGCTTCACGGTTCCGTACGCGACGAATGTTTGTTTCTTTGCGCCTGTTGCCTCTTCGTTCGACCCCGTCACGCCGGTGAAATTCCCCGGAGTCACGATCAGGATTAAAATCTCACGTCAAATTCGTGCGAGCGGCGCGCACGCGAGATTTGGAGCACCGTTAGAATCGATCAGTGTCGAATCGACGGTTAAACGGAGACTATGACTAATCGGTGAGTATCCTGCTGATAGGTAAGACGCGTTCCAATTACATCGTGTCCTCTATTACCCGGCGCTCTGTTGACTCCACAACGGCATTGTTAGAAATCGGCCGCCATTAAAGGTTTTATTGACGTTTCATGAATAGGAAGAGGTTTCATTAGATACATTTATTACGTACATCAAATTAACTACTCCCGTGTAAGCAATGGTAAATAAGAAATAAGTAAATTCGCGTATCAGTATACGTGATTCTAATAAAATGTTACTTAATGTTTCATCAGATTTAAAAATAAATTTTATATTTCTAACGTAACGTGTAAGGATAGCGAAGATAGAATAGAAATGTGGAATTTTGAATATTCCGAGGAAAGCTGTATTTTATTCGATGGAACGAGAGGTGTGGATTAATTAGTCGATGAGAGGCTGAATGAGATCAGATACGGAACGAGTGAGTTAGGCGGTCTCCGACGTTGGAGACACGATATTGATTTTACGTTATCGGCGCGGCGTGACAGCGACAATTATCCGTACAAACGATTAACATCGACGACAGCGAACGGCCGGAGCGGGTTGTAAGAAAAGAATTTGGTTGATCAAGTACCAGGGTCTCGGGTCAAGTCAGTCTGTGCTTGTAGACAAGAGGAAGACTTTCATCGTGATTGCAGATACAACGGCAATAGAAAGAGAAAGGATTCGATGGTACCGTTAGTGGCTTCGGAGTTCAGGGCCCGTTTATCGTACTTGAACTTCCGATCAGATACTGGCCAGCATTTTTAACAATCGCTTGGCACACTGCCGTATCGTTAAGGAAAAGCTGACAGTGCAAGAATATATTTATAAATGCATACACAAAGATGTACCACGCTAACTTTTTTATAGATATTACAGTAGAAATATCAAATCCAAAGTTATATGTACTTACCATTTACCATGGAATGTATATAGTATTCTAAATATCGTAAGGATCCATTATCAATATTTCAAAGAATTACAGATATTTTAAGTAAAAGGATATATTTTCCTTAAATTCCGACAACTATGTGGACACTGCTAAAAAGCATAAAGAACCATACTTCTAAGTATCAAAGGATCACAAACGTTTAAAGAAAAGCATATTGAAATCATTGGATACAATTTCCAATGGTTTGATCTGTGATTTCCTATGAATTCTTTACTTTTTCTTAAACCTATAACTACCATGTACTACGTGTTTACCGTACTATACGCAAAGCCGTTGTACGCGTTGTAACAGTTTCGAGGAAGGGAAGCAGAGTCACCCTTCTGTGAGCCACCGAAGCTAACGGTCTCCTTCAATGAAGAAAGGATACGGCCGAAGTCAAGTGTCAAGGTCTCGGGTCAAACCGCTATATAAAGACAGACGAGGAGAGATCTCTATCTCGTCGCCCGATACAACAAAGAGAAAAGGAGGAAAGGGTGTGATAACACTGTAGCGGTATCTCAAGGTAATTACACGGTACCGGTTTCCTTATAAGCATCCAGAAATAAAAGAAGTCGCAACTGCTCGTCGCGGCCAGATAACCAATCCCGAAGGCTCCGCCACCATTTTTCCACGATTCTGTTTGCGAACCGAGATTCACGCCCAGCGATGTTTCGCCAGCAAAACATACCTTCTGCATTATCGGGCAAACAGTGCAAATAACGGCGTGAAAAAGGGGCAAACGTATCAATCTATCCTGAAAAATCTCATTTCTTTCGCCGAGCGCAAATATTTCTCACCTTGAGCGGTTAAATGTAAACAGTTTCGTGCAATTTTGCCGATGACGTTGAAAAACGAACGTGTAAACGTTCAACACTGGAAATAAGTGATATCGAAGATTTCAAGTGCCTTCTTTTATTTACCAAACCGATCACTATAACTAATTGCTGTCTGGGAAAAATCAGATATTATTTCGTGATACAAGGTATGCGCGCACGATATCAGTGAGACAGAAATAGAGAAAGATATTAGAATAAGTTGAAACGATTGCGTACAGAGATAATCTCGAGGACACACGGTTCGTTAAAGATTTCCCGTAGGAAACGCAACGTGTTGACTTCAGCTGCAGAATGATAGGGATCGGTAACAGCTTCGCGAGCATTACAATTAAGGGTAAATAGTAAATCTCCGGGTACTTCCGGCAATGTCTCGTTGCGATGCGTTACTACCGCGAGCCTTCCCACCGTCGCGATAATTTACACTTTTTGCGGCGCGGCTCGCGAGAGGACAAAATCCTACCCGTGCTGGAGGTGGCCAAGCGGCGAGACTGACCGCATCAGGCACTTACGTCTCCATATGTACGCGCATAAGTTACAAGTCTACGACATGTGGAAAGCAGACTTAAATGCGAGGAACCGCTTCCTTCGTAAATCATTGTTGACGGGGAAAGGGACGCCTCTGTGCAAGGCTAACACAGATGTCTTGACGTTTCCGCCGCGGATACGCGAACTTCGGGATTTTTCGACGTTGCTCTTAAGCTAGTCGTTAAGCTTGATACGCTAATATCCGGGCTTTAGTGTTATATAAATTATTATTGAATTTTAACGTTAAGAAGATCGAGCTTTGAGACTAAGTACCTTGTGTACATTAGACGTATAAATATGTTACCATGGGGTGTTGATAACTAATTGATATATTTGTATAATTTTGCATTAACGACAGTAAACTTTGTTGTAAAATTTATTGTTTCAAAAAACCAATGGGCAAATTAAGAAAGGGCATTTTGTTAAAGAACTTCAGTGTTGTATTCTTGTTAAATGCGACCTGTCATGCCGCACAAACTCGTAGTTTAACCCCTTACCCTATGATTAATTTCTTAACTATGATCGATACAATTGCTTCATCGTTAATAATTTATTAGGAAAAGAATGAATTTTCATGCTTATCCTATATCTACGTTTACTCCAAAAATTAACGATTAATAATAGATAAGTAATATTTAATTTGTATTTAAAAAAATAAATAACACCGAGATTTCTCAAATTCTGTTTCAAATTTTCATCGCGAGTTTGACACGATATTGCAGGTCAAGGGGTTAATGCATAATATCTTGCGCCGAAAGGAAACGATCCTACGACAAAGATCACGCGCGGACAATTATTCGAAAGTGAATAATACTGAATCGGCGAAAGCGAACAGAATTGTTAAAATATGCATCGAGCAGCTATTAAAAAAT